TCGCTTCCCCCCTTCCTTTTACCGTATACTAGAATAGCCGAAGATACATTCTTATTTTCTCATGTAAAATCGAAGATCCTTTTTCAATTATTATAATCAATAATGAATCAGAATGATGCACTGGCACTTCTCTTTAATACTGGAAGAATATATTTTTTTGTTTACATATAATTAATTTGCATGACTCGGTTGCTTTATGCGTGCAAAGAATAAAAAGAATCGGCGAGTCGCGAGATGTCCTTGTGAATGTACCATTAATACGAGGTTTTGTGCACGAAATCGCTTACGAGAGATCGCGTGGGCCGGTTAATCCATTGCGAGTAGCCGGGCTTCAATCCGCGTATCGATAAAATTTTCATTTCTTTATAAGATTACCGAAGAAATAGCGCGCACAAGAATGTTCAAGGTTGTTTTTTACCTATAATAGAACATAACGTTTTGCTCGAGATATATTCCAAGTATATCCGGACAAGAGAACGAAACGAAATCCAACTCAAGCTAAAGAGATCTTCAGCTGGATTAATGTGTGGTGACTGTGGTAGTATAATAAGCCTATTAACAACATTATATAACAACCATCTTCTTGTTTTTCTAGCGCTGTATTTAAGATCGTTTGTCTTGTTGGAGGCAACAAGTTTGTTCAATTTATTTTAACGTACCTGATAATAAATTATACCATTTATATGCGGCATATTGATAGATTTATGCATTCATTGCCTCATTAAAAATCAAGATACTTTCGATTCCATTGTATTTTAAAAATTATGACGCGTTTGTGTCAAAATTCTGTTAAAATTCAATATTTAAGCCATTTACGTCAATTTTTTCCTATCGAAAGAAACTTTAAATGTAATTAATAAATTATATATCTCACTCAATGCGTGACATACATAGTCTTAATACGTATTACTTTCCTTTATCTATAATAAATCTTTATCTGCAATATATAATAAATCTTTATCTTCAATAAATCCACTTGATCAGTAGAATGTGATAGACAAAAAAATTTAATTTTAAATTTCAGATTCAAGATGAATTTTCCTTGGCATATTTTTTTTAATATCTCTATTTCGATAGAGAATCAGAAGCGAAGAATTTATCTGGGAAGATCCGCGACGCGTAATTTTTCTTGCAGCCTGTATCTGAAAGTGCTAAATGGCTATTACCAAACATCAAGAGCGTAAAACGACTCGTCAATGTTAAATCAGCAGCCCTAGTATCGCTCCTCTCTATCTCATTGTACCTATATGTATATAAACGAAAGTCCCTGAAATGAAAACTGCCTACTTCCGAGCAATAAAGACCAATGCCATCGTGATTTAACGACACTGGCTCGACTAACGTTGAGCAGGGTGTCACCGTATAAGTGTAAAATGTTTTCGTGAAATAATATTTTTCCATTGAATTTCATTTAATGCTCGAAAAAACACTAGGGAAAAATCTATCAATCGTGCTAGAGATGAACGCTTTTTTTTTCACGATCGATTTTATCAAGATATTTTTTCAGCATCAAAATGTGAGTATCTATAAAACAAACTCTCTTGTCAGATTAGATATCGAGTGGGTTTCGAGAGAGTTGTTAAAAAAAAATCTCAATCATTTCTGACGCGAACAGCAATCTTCTGGATACGCGTGTGAAATTACGCCGGTGTTAATTGACAATCCTCCCGCGTCAGTGTGGGTTCTGGGATTAAGCGGAGAACGCTTCTTCGCCTCCCCCGCGCCGAAACACGGTTACGAGAAAATCGCGCAGGGCGGAGTTGCGCAGATCATCTAAAAGCACGATCGAGTTCGCACAGGGTGCCCGAACATCCCTTTCCTCCCTTTTCCCCTCTTCCTCTACTCTAACGTCATTCTACTTGCGAATAACTTGACCTAAAAGATTAATCGATATGAAAAACGTGTATATGAATGTGTGTGTGTGTGTGTGTGTGTGTGTGTGTGTGTGTGTGTGTGTGTGTGTGTGTGTGTGTGTGTGTGTGGATGCATGTGTAATCTTGAATAATTAATCGAATAACTAAATCTTGCAACCCTTAAGCTTTTTATACTTTTGTATTTTTTCTGCATCGATTTCTTTTTCTCATTATACAGTATTTTTATTTACTTGTCACTATAAACATGTATAATAAATGGTATGCCATATATTCTATTTTCTTTTCGTTGAAAGAGAAGAATTTCGAAAATCTCGAAGACTATAGCTGCGAGTGAAGAAAAGAAGAAAGCAAGGAATGTTCTCATAAGTTTAGAAAACATATTTATGAATACCCTTTGTGAATATTGTACCTTGGAATGTGCAGTGAAAATTCTTTACTTTGAAATTGTCGGGACCAAGATATCTCCATTATTCTGCATTCTTTTTTTATACCCCACCTTAGAATGAGAACCGTAAAAGACTGAAGACATGATGCATGTCCATAACTTCACGTGATCACGTGATAAAGGTATAGTGGGAGAACATCGCAAAAGAACTGTTTACAGAAAAACAGCTGTTCCTAACCACAGAAACAGCTAGTAGAGGTCGTCCATTACTAATTGCATTATAAATGCAGAAAGTGCAAAACATGCTCTAAAATAAACAACCGTGCGTGAATATATCTTGAATTTATTTTGAATGCAAAAAATGTAATCGATAGAGATCTAGGAATTTAATGGGACCCAGTTTTTTGCCAAGAATTCTTTAGCAAATGTTAGAAAGATGAGGAAAGAATTGAAACTATTATATTTTTTCGGCGAGTTGAATCTTTGATGTTACAAGCATGTGAAAATAATTGTTATGTGCATCGTCGTTATTTATGATAGAATTCAGTTTGAAAAATTAAATTAAAATTTTTTCCTCTATTATAGTCTATTTTCTTAATTTCTAGAAAAAATGACTTGTATTAAGACGTGTTGCATAGTCGTTTAAACACAAAAATATAAAGAAAGAGCATATATTAAAATACTTAAGCATATATTAAAATAAAATAGATATATATCGGTATTTTGTAAAAAAAGGAAAAGTTACAAGAGCAGAAAGTGTGACTGAAGAGAGCAGACGGGGCTTATTATAGAAAGTAAAAAAATGCAATTCAAAAACACAATCTAAAAAGTAGTATAAAAATGAAACGAATATACATATATATATCGCGTTTTTTTAACAAATGTCACAAGTATAAAAAAAATGTCTTTGAAACGGATTTGAATTTCGAAAATGATTAAATCAAATTATGTGTTGCATTCGCGACTGGTAGTGCATTTAACAGAACTATTACGTCATTATAATCGTACCGCGGAGCAATCCAAACTCGCGTCAAAAGTGTAGAATATGAAAACTGCAAAAAAGACAAACAGATCGATTAACTTTAACGAATGTTTAACCGAGGTCCTTCGTTTCTATCGTTCTTTCTCTAGATCATGTGTGGTATCGATTGTAAAAACTTTCGTGTGTCTCAGTCGCACTCTCTTCTCGCACTTTGCCCCTCTCTTTGTCTTTCTTTCTTTCTTTCTTTTACCGAATTCTGGATATATAGAAACACTCATCTGCAGGAAATAAGTAGGTTAAAAAACATAGGAAATATAGCCAGAATTACGATAATTCGGTTAATTGCGGAAATGTAAAGCGCGCGACGTATAATCGGGGCGCGCCGACGATAACTTACCGCCAGTCTAGGAACGTGCAAAGTATCGGCGAAGCGGCCTACCTCGATAAGCCCCGCGAAACGCCAGCAGGGAGCTCCAATTCTCGCGTCCGAGAGTGGCATACAAGCACGATGGATGCAGGGTCGACAGACCGCCGGGACTGCAACCGGCGCGACGACGGATGGCGGTGCACCCAGGTGCACCTGCCCTGCCCGTGCGGCCGATGGACTGTCAACGTCGCTCCGATGTCGTCGCTGCTCCGCTGCCGCGCGGCTATACTTCACCACCTATGTATGTATGTACGTGCGACCCCACTGCTCTCACTGTCGAGCACGACACATCACGGCGGGCGCGCTCGATCCCCCGCACTAGGCACCCGCACCCCCGATGGATAATATCTCGCGTGCACACCCGAGATCCCTTTCGCTCTGAGAATTCGAGAAGTCAAGTGTCTTTCTCGTCTTGTATATCGTTCTGCCGCCAGAATCACAATGATCGACGACGCAGCGGACGCAACTCGATCTCACGCACAATCACGATACGCCCACGTACTACGTGCGTACAAGAGTGACTGCGCCCGGCCGCTGATGGCGACGGAAGCGCCGCGCGGCGCGCGCGCGAACTACCTTACGTCAAATCCATAGACACAGCTAAACATAGAGGTCCATATTCTGATGTATAAAGGTGCAATTCAGCAAATAACCAATCAGAAGGCTGATAAGCCACTTTTAAACGCACTTTTATCAATAAAAGAGGATTCAGAATATGGACCACAGCGTCGTTCGCGATGGACGAGAATTTCTTTTTTATACAGTGATATACATATATGTATGTATAATAGACGTAATTATCAGACGTGTAACAATCTGATATTTTTCTTTTTTTATTCATTTGATATAAATGTGCAATGTATGGGTTAAATGTTAATAAATAAATAATAGATTTAACAAGATTAGATTAATCAATATAAACGTAGTTTTGGATTTTCCAACCAAGTTCAAGAGACAAGTATCAACATAAACAATTATATTTGATTCGAAAATATCTCATCCGGAAGTAAAAGACATTAATAACATTTGACATAAACACTAAACTATTATATATAACTGTTATTAATTAATTTAATATTGTATAGTCTCTATTTTTCTTATTTAATTTAATTTTTCATACCTTTTTCTCAGAAATTTAAAGATGTGAAATTCAAGAGGGTACAATTCTAAACCACGATGCATCTAGATATGCGACGCTTCTAACCCGGAAGTACCTCTAATCGGAATGGAAACTTAACCAATCACGCGTCTAGTACACAACAATATGGCATTAGACACGTGATTGGTTAATTTTTCTATGCGTATACACATCTATGCAATTTTGCTTTTAATGCACAGACCACAGACTTTTTATATCACACACGTCAGTTCAGTAGCAGTGGACATAACCCGCGAGTAGTGTAATAGCGAAATCATCGTGAAAAAAGATGGTGGTGACGGTGGCTTCTGTACGTCAACAACTCACTAATCTGGCGCATTCCGGCGGTTCCCACAAAGATCAGGCCGAAAAGTAAGTCTGCAGAACAATATCGATTCTCATTCATAACATTCATAAATAAACCATCTTCTGTTTAGATATCGTTCAACGTTGGACATGATATTGTTGTCTTCCGGCGAAGAACTAGTCGATGCCTTGAAGACATTTATTGAAGCAAGTATGTTATTTTTATCTTGCTGGCATCTCAAACGCATCGAGAAAATGTTGGAAATGACTTTAACGTCATCCTGAAATTTGAACAACAGAATTTATGCGATCTTAATTAATATAGATAGGTTATAAAAAAAGATTTATTAAAAAATAAATATACGACAATAATAGAGATTATTTTGTACATATATCTAAATAATAGTATATGGAAAAGCTATTATCTCTTATTGATTTTTTAAATAATATAATATAGTTTGATGAATTGAATACAAAAATTACTCCTTAACTTTATAAGAAAAATTAGGAATTGTTAAAATTCAGTTACTTTAATTTTTTTTAATAGCATAGAATTGATTATTGTAGTTATTATACATTTTCGTATTCTATACACTAAAAAGTATACATATAGAATTAAATGTTAAAATTAATGATGCATGTGATAGCTATATGTATCTGTATCTATACAATAGAGCTATAATAATATACATTATTCACAATATACATTATTCTAAGATAAATTTAATATTAATATTTTTGTATTATATGATGATTATCTTTTTGACATATAGTACAATGAAGACCAATTATAATTCAATATTATAATAAAATACACATATTTGATAGGTTATATTTTATCTATATATATATATATATATATATTTTCTAAAATTAGAAAAACAGTATATTTAGATAAATTTTTATTCCAGTTGTGAATGAAAATGTGAGCTTGGTGATTTCAAGACAAGTTCTGACTGATGTCAGCAGTCGTTTATTATTTTTACCTGATGAGATATCAAAAGCTGTTTCACATTACACTCTAGATAAGGTAAATCACTATTCTACTAAACATATAAATTAAACATGAGATTTATAAACATAATTTAAATTTTATATAAAAAATACATTTTTCTCTCTCTCTTAATTGAAATTATACATGTACACAGGTTCAGCCACGTGTGATTTCTTTTGAAGAACAGGTAGCTAGTATAAGGCAACATTTAGCTGATATTTATGAACGTAATCAGAATTGGCGAGAAGCTGCAAACGTTTTAGTTGGTATACCGTTGGAAACAGGACAAAAGTAACATATTTACTAATAATTATCTGCAACTATTTTTATATATGTGTTATACTGATAAAATTAATTATTTTAGGCAATATACTATTGATTACAAACTCGAGACTTATCTTAAAATTGCTAGATTATATTTAGAAGATGATGATCCAGTACAAGCAGAAGCGTTTATCAACCGAGCATCACTTTTACAGGTATTTTCTTTGTTTTTGTAAATTTATTTACAATATGATAATTATTTCTTCTTGTATTATTTATCTAGGCCGAGTCTAAAAATGAACAATTACAAATCTATTATAAAGTCTGCTACGCAAGAGTACTAGATTATAGAAGAAAGTTTATAGAAGCAGCTCAGAGATACAATGAATTATCATATAGATCCATTATTCATGAAGACGAACGTATGACTGCTCTTAGAAATGCATTGATCTGCACAGTATTAGCTTCCGCAGGTGAGCGATTAATTAAACAGCAAATATATTTTATTTATCTCAAACTTTTGTTTTACATCATCCACGTGGTTTTTTATCACAGGACAACAGAGAAGTCGAATGTTGGCGACCTTATTTAAAGACGAACGTTGCCAGCAACTTCCAGCTTATTCGATTCTTGAAAAAATGTATTTGGATCGTATTATTCGACGTTCGGAACTACAAGAATTTGAAGCGTTACTACAACCTCACCAGAAAGCATGCACCATCGACGGATTAGGCTCTACTATACTCGATCGTGCAGTCATCGAGCATAACTTATTATCGGCTAGTAAACTATATAATAATATTTCGTTCGAAGAATTGGGCGCATTGTTGGACATTCCACCTACTAAAGCGGAAAAAATTGCTAGTCAAATGATTACCGAGGGCAGAATGAATGGATATATCGATCAAATAGATTCTATAGTACATTTCGAAAGTAAGTTGCCTGTTGCTTTATTACATACTTTCCGCGCGATTAAGAATCTCGTTTATATTTCTCATTTTTCTGTACAGCACGCGAAACTTTGCCGACATGGGACAAGCAAATACAATCATTGTGCTACCAAGTGAATCAAATAATCGAAAAAATAGCTCAAACCGAACCAGAATGGATCGCGAAAGTAATGGAAGATCAGATGGTGCATTAATATAGATTTTGTTTAAAGTGAAGGAATATCGTCGTCGCAAATAAATCTCATTTATAATAATTATTGTATAACAGAGTCAGAGAGAGAGTCAAAATAGTAATCATTTATATTAATAATTCATTCTTGAAATGCAAATATTGTCCGATGTGCACATCCTCCTCCCCTTCATTGTATTTATTTTATCTACAATGTAACATTTCGTCGAATTTTTCAGAAATATATCCACATTGTTTTTCAAAGAATTAATAGACAAATTATATGTTTAAAATACCTTAAATGTATATTATATCCTTAAAGTCATGACAAGTTTTCTAATATTTTGTAATGCTTATTAAATATAAGCTTTATTAACTCAATCAATCTGAAAATCAATATGAAGTTTATCATACACCATACAAATAAATTTAAGTTTACTTGGAAAAAACATTTTAAAAAATTACTCATTTGCAATCAATTCAGATAGAATCAATGTATATGATAAATGATGTAAATTTTTGTAAATAAATCTCACATTTACATTTCACACTGGTCTTTACTAAACACATAAATAATCGATAAGCAATAATTGTTGAGAAAGATAAAAGTTACATATATGTTTTTAATTCACAATTATATTCTATAAAATAAAGCAATGGAATTACATGTAGCTGTGTGATTGGGTCTTTTGAAAATATAATTATTACATATGTGATTAAATAATCTTATAAACAGGAATATAATTTAGTAATATCTAAGACAAATGTTGTAACCAAAACTGGCAGTACTCCTCTTCATACGAAAACGGATAATCGAAATATTTCTTTCTTGCAATAGGAGTGACACAAATAGTTTTTAATAATTATAATCTGTACATGTGTATGTATATATAAATATGTATATAATTGCATCATTACTTATATAAATTAGAAGGCATCATATATTTTTATATAAGTAAAAGAACTATAATAAAAAAAAAAAGCGTACACATTTACTATCAATCACATTATGTCAAGACTACTTGATTGTATACAAATATGGATGTTATACGTCATACATTTGTGTGATCCTATCCAGCAAAAAATAAAATTCATAATCTGCAGTGATAATTGATTTATATACATTTAATCAATTTTACATGAAATACAATATGAATCTTATTAAAGATATTTTTTATTGCATTTTTCAAAGTTATAGAATATTTGTATACAAATCAATACTATATATCATATTTTATATGTACAGAGTTCATTACCAGATTTTTCAAAATATGTCAATGTATTCTATCAATAAAAATTAAAAAAAAGTTATCTAAAATCTATAATTATTTTAATAAAAAGTAACACATATTAAGTCCGTAATCGCTTCATTACAAGAGATTATAACCAAAATAAGCGATTTAAAAAAAATAGATTTACTTTTATTATGATAAAAAAATAGAAAAAATTGACGATTTATATTTTTTAATATGTTTATATAAATCGTTATCTATTATTTAAAATAAAATAAAAACTGAGATTTATATATATATATAATTTCTATTACTCAATTACTCTTCTCAAAATATTATTCCCAATCATAATAAAAGTTGCGACAAAGAATTTGTACGCTAATAAATTTAATTAATTTGATTCTTTACTATTTTTTGTATTGATATATAAACAGAGAATATTTTTAATATAATTAATGATTAAAAAATAAAATTATATTGATAATATCACGTAAACAGATTAAATAAATGTATATTAACTTTAAATTTTTTTCAAACTTATATAAAGCATTTGAAGGTTTGTTCTTTTTCTTTGTTTATATATTTTCCTTGAATTATATTTTTATAAAATGTATTGACCGAAAAATCTTAATATATCTTGTACATATATGTATACAAAGGAAATATATATATACATACATGTGTTTTTGTATGTATATATATGTGTGTGTATATATATATATATATATACATACATGTGTATGTGTGTATGTATGTACATATGATTCATTTTATATTTCTTTGTTTTTATTGAAATAAGATTTTTTTATCACTTCATACTATTGTATCATCTTTTAGCATAATTTCGAAAACAAAGTGGCTCATTTTAACCTGTAAATATTCATATTTTAGAAATTATGTTGAAAATTGGAAAACGTTCTCTTGAAAAGTTAAAAGACTCGATAAAGAAAGAGGACATAGGGGAGAATATTTACTATATATACACGGAAACGACAAAGAATTTTAAAAATTAAATGAAATGATTAAAAATTAAAATTTTTTTAAATAGGATGACTAATCTTTTTGTTGTATCATCATTTTCCTTTCTAAAATTTTGATAAGGACGAATAAGAAAAATATTTGATTGCTAAATTAAAAGTTGAATATAGCGAAAATCATTAGTTTCTAGATGTATGAACAAGTATTCTAATATTTTTTCTATAACATTCGATATTCCAATTTTACAAAGAAAAAAGAATAATAAAATAAAATATTTGTAAGAAATTAGTCATCCTATTAATGAAAAAATGCATTTAAAAAGGCATTTTGTCATATTTCCTTGACTTCTTTATGTATATACAGTAAATTTTTTCCTGTATGTTTCTTGGAGTCTTTTAATTTTTCCTCCAAAAAAAGAAAAGGAAAAAACACATTTTCCAAAATTCAACAGTTTTTCGAGATATAAACACATTTGTAAACTGATAAAAGATAAGTCAATCTGCATATTATTCCCAATTTTTTGTTTTTATGAAAAGGATAGCAGGATCTAACAAGCTGCACATATAAAGTATTGTAGGGACTAAATAAGACTAACAGTACAAACTTGTCTAATCAGCATAATTATGATTTTATATTGTTCATCGATCAAAGCTATTATTAGTTTACGATCATAGTTATGTATAATATAGCAGACTAATATTTCCTTCAACTAATCTGAAATAATGCAAATATTTTGCAATAATTATTCAAGAATCAATCTATCTATACGTTACAAGTAATACTTTATTCAAAGCATATATTGCCGATTTTGACACAAAGGTCATGAGATACTTTTTTGTGTAGGATAAATTTCTTTTTTGCTTCTTTGTAATAAGAGTTACTTTGTAATGACAGATATTTAAGCTTGAAGGTCTAATGCAACACCATATTTATGGCCACCAGATCCAAAATTTTTTCCATCAATGCTTGTAGAAAGTGTCAAAGTTACACCTGTAAACAAATATTTAGTTATTTAGCAATATTTATTATATTATTAATATATGCATTTTTTTATAAAAGAATGTATTTATTTATTTAATATTATAGACTGTTACATTATAAGAAGAAAAATGACAAGAAGATTGAAAGCATTGTAAAGTTTTTATTTTGCAAAATGTTATTTATTCTTTTTAATTAAGTGAGAATGAGTATTAATAGATTTATTAAATAGCAAGAAAAATGTGTTAACTTTCTCTTGTTAAGCTTCTATATAATGGCAAAAATATTTGAATTATAAATTATATAAAAATTTATTGCATTTTGCATTTATGGGAAAAAAAAATCAATTACTGTATTTTCTTGTTTTTACTTTAGTACGGGTAACTTAAAAAATATTACTTACCTTCTCGCAATTTCTGTTGGTATCCCAAGCCTACTTGAAGATTAGAATTTACTTTAGCTCTAACGCTAGCATCACTGTCAAGATTATACTTTGCTCCAATGGCAAAATTTGTTACATTATGAGCGGCATTCCATGCTAAATTAATCGCTCCTTCTAATTCTGGTTTTACTTTATGATAAATGGAACTATTAAATTCCTGACCATTATCCCTAAAAATATAATTTAACATTAAATATTCTCTATATAAACATTGCTTAAGAATTGTCTAGTGCATCTCTTATTATAAATTATATTTACACAGAAGTATGAAGAACAAAGTCTGAAGCAGCAAGTCCAACAGCAAAGTTGTTCCTTATAAGTTTATTTCTTTGTGAGTCAAATCCTATTTGACAGCCACCGAACCAGCCTGCAAAATATAATAATATGCGAATTTATATCTTTATATAATATAAATTTGTAATGTTTATTACATATCATAGCCTTACTTTTGTACATTATAGGATATTCCACATGTTTAGAACAGGAAAATATATATTTGGGACAAAGGATATAATTTGGCACACATATATAGAAGAATTAAAGATCTAAATTAAAAGTATTTTTTCAACAATTTTACATGAAAATAATGAATAATTAATATTATTAAGTACTAATATATCATTAAGTCCTCTATTTCCCTTATTATATTAAATATTGTGTCAGAAATGAATGTTAATTTTTTCTTAACATACATTGAAATAAGTTAGTTTCTTCACATATCACTGCTTATATTCATTAGTATGTGAGTTAGTAAAATATACATAAAAAGTTTTTTATTACTTTACATATATATACATGTAAAGTAATAAAATTTAATCTGCATATAATCAACATTTTTAGAAAATAAACTTTATGATCATTTCAAAATTTAGTTAATATTTAATCCATATAAGCCAAAAGGAAAATCTTTGATATATTTTATTGATCAAATGATGGTAAAATGTAATTTATTTCAATATACTTTGCAAGAAAAAGTTTACACCAATATCTCATTTCTGTCATGACATTCATGAGGAATTAAAAGCACTTTAAGATATATACCTAATATCTAAATTTACCTTGATAACCTACAACAGCTGAGCTATAAATTAGAGGTCCAGCAGATAGGCTAAGGTCAAAGTCAGAAGTTATGGCTGCATTCTCATGCTTATAGGTTGCTTTCAATTTTCCAGTTTTGGAACTATAAAAATAAACAAAGAAAAATTTTAAACATTATTAAAAATTACAAAATAATTAACTTTTTAACATTATGTAATAAAATATCTCACCCAGATTGTGGAGAGAAAGTACAACAGTAACCAAGAGTCAGACCACTGATCAATTGATTAGCAAGGGTAACTTCAGTCGAAAGGGTATTATCAGTATTCCATTTCTCGTTGAATAATAATCCATATTCCTTGAACTTATATTTAGTTTCTAAGTTACCAAACACCTTTCCTGTATCCTGATTAGATATTCCACCGCAAGAAAACTCTACATCGGAATTGGTCTTAGTTTTTACATCCAATTTAAGGACGCCATAATGGTAACCTTGACCAAATACATCGCGAGCGTTCTTTCCTAGATCATTATATGTTGGAGGAGACATGTTCTGTAATAATAGAAAGTAAAATATTTATATAATAATTCATTATCATTTCATGAATGCAAATAAATTTAGCTTCAAGCAGATCAAAGAAGCGCAAACAATATTCCATCTAATAAAGCAGTATCTAAATTTGATCCCAGATATGTATGTCAGCAGTATATCCTTTTTATTCTATATAATTATATACATGTACATGAAATAGATGAATGAAATGAAATATTACACAAAGAGAATATATAAAAACTTAAAAAAAAACACATGTATACTTATAAATTTCAAAAAAAAGGTGTGATAAAAAAATGATAGTAAATTATTATTACAAAAAGCTTAATAATAAGCCTAATAAAAGCAAACAAATTATATATCATTATAATCGCGATATATTATACGAACGGAATGGTATTGACCTGTTTTGTGAGGTATTACATAAGGCACAATTTGGACAACTTATATCGCGATTATTTAAAATTCTGACTTGGAAGTTGCTACAAACGGCCTTGCCTCAAGAAACTGTCCCTTTTCGCTCAACGCGATACACAATGCTTTCCGAAAATATGAAAATTTCGCTCGCGACGCTTCGATCAGGTCCAACGGTCACGGCAGACGACATTGCGAAATCGTGGTCCCTTGCCGGTCTAGCGTGGGAATAAGACTCGTTTCTCCCAAATCTAACAACTCGCACGAATTGAACTCGGATTTTACGATTCGCGCGAACGCGATGCGCTCTATTCAAGAGTAATATCAACGACAACGTTATACTTACAGTCTTACGTTAGTGGAATACGAAGGCGGAAAAATGCGCGACTCTTTGAGACGTGTGAACGTGAGATTCGACGGAAGCAGGCGAGAACGGAAAGAGAAGCACGTCCCCCAGACCTCCAGGGACATTGGCGCGCATGCGCGCTAATGCACATAGGAATAGTGCTCAAGATCTACTTATTTCTGCGCAACTTATTGAAGCGGCCTGGCGTTTCGCGATATTTGGATTAAGAAAATTCGAGTTTCGCGAATGTAGTTGTATTCGGGTATTTCGAAGTTAAAAAACGCACGAGCTTGAAATTTGAATGATAATGATACGATTCGAGAACCGGTAGCAGAATTATTTCGATCGATTCTCGCTCCCTGAAGATTCGATCGTTGAGGAAAAAATTCAATGCAAGAAATAGCGGTATAATATCAAACTTTCCTACTTTTAATTTATTTTTAATATATGTTGCAAAATATTTTATTTACAATTTAATTATCCAGGAAAAAATTGCTCATAATTATATAAAATATATATATTTTCATGTTTTTTTCATGTTTTTTTTGTACAAGATGTTTAAAGATACGTCTTGATGAGGTACTATGATGTTTTTAAGATGTCATTTGACATCATTCTGCTGCCTGGGAATCTTAAATCCACATGTACAGGAAAAATAATAAAAAGAATACTTGTTGCATTATTTTTTCTTTAGAAAGATAAAATTTGAAGAGAAAATATTGCCCTCATATATAATTATATTAGAGATAATTAATTATAGAAGAAAAGAATATAATTATATATAAATTTATATACGATTGTATATGAGCATTTTTTTCCCCCAATATCTTGCAATTTAAGCAAGTTTCACTTTTTTTAAAATCTAAAACTAAAATCTTCTAATTATTTTACAATTATTCTTATTATTTTTCTAATATAAACGGACAGATAATATATATAGGAGAGAGAGAGAGAGAGAGAGAGAGAGAGAGAGAGAGAGAGAAAGAGAATAGCATGTAAACATATCATATATATATATATATATATATATATATATATATATATGTATATTTATAAATGATTATATATGAATACAATTTTTTCCTCCAGCATAAAAATGAATATAAAAGATATATACAAGATAATTGTATATATTGTATAATAACGCTAATTATAGAATAGTGGGAGCTTTTGGAAAGATCTAAAACTCCCACTATTCTCTACCGTATACGCGTTTAGAGTTCCCAAAATAGCATGATCAACTGCAACAAGGAATATTTTGATCACAACGCAGCCGGCCCGAAGCCGGCACAAATGTCGTCCGGTATAATTTAACTTATGCCATTGGCGGGGGGCTTGCACGCGATATTTTTAATAAGCTTTAAGAAGATATAAAGCACGCGACAAGCGCGAGCTTTGGCTCAGTCCAAGCCTTCGATCAGCATCGATATCATTTATTGACGAGGAATAAAAAAAAAACATTCGAGAAGAAGGCTCGATTTTTTCTTTTGCAACTGAACATGTCGCAAAAATCAGTACGTCGATAATTTATTTATTTGCGCGTGAGACAATTCGATTTGCTTGAAATAATTTATTTATCATTATACTATTCGCATCCGCAATATTTCAGGAAGGTGATGTATCTGCCGAGGGATCTACGTCGCAAGCATACAAGGTGCTTCAGAATGATCAAGTTGGTAGGTGAGTAGAATCGATAAATTATTCAAAATAAAATACATAATCTACGAATAAACATTTTATAGCAATAATTTCTTAATGAAACTATTGAACTTAAAATACACTTAATAAGTTGAATATTTATATAAAATTAATTACACAAAGTTACAATATAGTTATATAATTATATAGTTATATAATTAAAACAATATAGTTAATTAATTATATAGTTATATAATTAAAACAAATTACTGATTCACCTAATACAAACAAATATAACAAATAGATTTCAAACTTGAGATTGTTACATGTTAAAGATATAGAATTATGTATAAATCAAAACGAAAAATAATTTTTAAAAAATGAAACACCAAAGGCCATGGTTTAATATATAAATTAAATATTTATATGAATAAACTATATAAAGTGAAATATTAAGATACACAGATTAAAACACAGTAAATCACAGTGAAAATATTTCAATATGGGAAGAGATTATTTCCAGCGATTGAAGTATACATAGTTATTTTAATCAAGCATATTTCAATTAACATTAATTTATGACGAATCACACATAAAATGCTTTCTTAGGTACATGATCGCGAGTAGAGAATTGCAAGCTGGCGAAGAAATCACTTCGGAAACACCTTTCATCGTCGGCCCGAAAGCATGTACTTATCCCTTGTGTCTTTCTTGCTACACACCTTGGCCACTTAGCCCGGATGACAAACCGCTCTGTTCCAAGTGTGGATGGCCCGTTTGCAATCAAGAATGTGAGAACGCTCCACAACATAAGGATTACGAGTGCCCAGTGAGTGCGGCAATTTTCAGAAAACTTGTCGCATAATAAATTCTGCAATCAGCTCTGTATCAATCTGATCAATATCTGTATTATTATACGCACAGAAATAGAGATTATCTTATAATATATTGTGTATAGTGCGCAATATATTTTTCTATTCTTTTAAAATATAAATTTAAGAACACATATCTTCTCCTAGATTTATAAAATTATTTCATATCATAATCATTGCATCCACATTTTTGATACTTTGCAATAATTATTTGTGTTTTCTCACAATTGTTTTTTTACATATCAATCTTCTTTGATAGATATTCGTAGAGGCGAATGAGAAGTTTAACGTGGACGTCGTGCTGGATGGAGACGGTGTTCCGCAATTAGAGTGCATAACGCCCTTAAGATTATTGTTGGAATCGGAGAGGAACGTCGAGAGGTGGAACAAGGAAATAAAGGATATGGAGGCACATAATAAGATAAGGAGTGAAAAAATTCAGTGGAAATCGGATCATGTCAACATTGTGGATTATCTAAGAAAACGACTAAAACTCGATAGGTTTACACACATTAACAGATATATATTTCGTCGATAATTATTTGACGTAGAATTTCAAAGCAAACTTATTCTCGACAGATTCTCGGAAGAATTCATACAAACAATATGCGGGATTTTGGACATTAATACGTTCGAAGTCCGGACGATGAAGGGATTCTGCGCGCGAGGTCTTTATCCAACAGTTGCCATGATGAATCACTCGTGTGTCTCAAATACGTCTCACAGTATATCGCCGATCGATTATAGGTAATTAAATTCGTGGTGTGATTCTTTACAATGAGAACGTAAAACTTGTCGTGTGAGATACTGCAAGTAGTGTTAATTATAGCGACAAAATGTTTTTAATTCAATGACTTATACTTGAACGCGATATCTTTAACGAAACGATCTTCTCATTTATCTCTTATATATACGCTCACGCATTCTCCTTCCTCAATTAATTCATGCACTGTGCACGATCCCCAGGAAATCTCACGAGGTTTATTATGCCGATGAGAATACACTCGTTTTATATATGAAAGCAGTAATTATAATACACGATATAATACGCGATTTTTGCACGTCTACAGGATACGACTGCGTACCACGCTTAAGGTTCCTGCGGGCGGTGAACTTTACGGGAGTTATACACATTCGTTACTTCCGACAATGCTGCGAAGGGAACACCTACTCGAGGGCAAATACTTTGCATGCGCATGCCCGCGGTGTTCAGATCCTACGGAATTGGGTACCCATATGTCCTCTCTTAAATGCAACAAATGCGACAATGGAGTTATCTTATCATTGGATTCTCTAGGTATTGCACAGCTAGAAATACACATTTGCATATAACTTAAGATATAAAATATAAGAAAATTTTTTAAATATATATATAATATGATACATTTTTTAAACTTGGATACCTTTTACAAACGATATCTTTCAGATTCGACAAGTACATGGAATTGTACGCATTGTGACTTCTCTACTAGCGGACAAGCGGTGCGAAAAATTTTCAAGATTATTCAAGCGGAAGTAGACACTGTTGAAGCTATCAGTGGCGCTGACGGAGCCGATGCGATTCTCGAAAGAGAGAATGTTATAAAAAAATATCGATCAGTTTTACATCCTCATCACGCCTTTCTTACAATACTAAGGTATGATAAAACCGTAAGAAAAAAAGTATAATTCTAATAATAAAGTTAAATCAATTTTATTCATCCTTACAACGGTGAACTTAATTTCACGTTATTTCTCCAATCATCAAAATTCATACTAAAATTCTAATAATAGATTAATTAATGATTTATTAGACACATGTAGTTTGATTATGTATACTATATATCTACTATATCATTATTTAATTATACATAAATAAATAAATATTATTTGTATACAATCAAATATACATATATAATTTTATATTTAATTAATCTATTATTAGAATTTTAGTATGAATTTTGATGGTTGAAGAAATAACGTGAAATTAAGTTCACCGTTGTAAGGATAAAATACGTCCATATATTTTCTTTCTCTCGTACAATCTCTTTGTATAGATAGAAAGTAATAAGAAGAATAATTTTCGCATTGGTTTTTTTTAAAGAATAAATAAAACTTTTAAAGAAATGAAAATTTCCCTTCTTGCCGCACACATAATTATATATGTATAAATTTAAAAAAAAAACAATGCAAGAATTATTTTTTAAGTATTCTTTTTATTATTTTTTATTATTATTTTATTCCATATATCAGAGATTATACAAGAGAAAAAAAACATTTTATATGTATAATTTATATTATGTACATTTATATTAATATTATATACATATATTCTCGTATATCTATTGTTAAGCAAATCATAGGCTAAATCATAGGATATTATGTTTCTCTTTCTCTCTCCTAGACACTCGTTAACTCAAATGTATGGCCGAGTTGATGAATATTTATTAGACGATTTACCAGATGTTGTATTAGAGCATAAAGTTGACATGTGCCGTTTATTGCTTCAAGTATTAGACATTGTGGAGCCTGGATATTCACGTATAAGAGGTACGTGCTTTTCATATGGATATACGTTCTCTCTTTGATTAGGAGATGTAAGAAATATGTGAAATATATGAAAATAATTTTATCACCTTTTTGACAGGCATGACGTTATACGAATTGCACGCACCATTACTTTTCCTAGCGAAAGGTCAATGGAATGCCGGTGTCATTGACGAGGCAGGACTAAAATCTAAAATGATAGAAGCCGCAACTATCTTAAAAGAAGCTGTGACAATATTAACCTTAGAACTACCGGAGACAGTCGAAGGACAAATAGGACTCGTTGCAAAAGAGTGTCTCGTTCAGTTGGAACAATCTATAAATAACTTATAAATAAATTTATTGTAAAGATCTCTCTTATATATTTGTCTAGGAAGATTTACATTAATAAATGTTTCGATATGTATGAGAAATATCTTTGTATCACAAGAAACATATATCGTAATTTCTTTAAAATATATATTTTAGTAAAGTTTATATTTTTAAATATAAAATATATAATTTATATCAAACTTTATTAAGTTAACTCATACAAAATATTTCTATAAAAATATGTAAATATATAGAATAAAACACATTCAATATTTTGAGAGAATGTCTCTAAATCTACAACAAAAATATACACCAGAAAATATGTGCATAGCATGATGATTACATTAATATATCTGAAAAGCATTCTTTCTCTCTCTAGATAACTCTCTCTCTTCTTTATATGTGAGATATAAAAATATTTTTACGAGTTTCTGGCGAGATATCTTGATGAGATATGCGATATATATCTTCTTTTTACTTGATAATACATTTAATGAAGCCATTGCATAGTTAAAACCGAACGGATCTAAAAGTATATATTTAGAAGATGCCAATTTGTTTATGTTATATCAATGTGTACGTTGTGTTGTATTTTACACTGTCTACGTATCAGTGAAATGCACGCAATCCACACAATGTCTAATAATACAACACGTCGCATGTATATGTCAGTTTCGTGTTGCTGATGTGCTCGCTTCCAACAAATATCAGTTTCGCACATCTCAAGGAAGTAATCTCTAGTAGATATTATGGCGCCTGTCTCCCCGAAGTATAAAATTGTGCATTCTAAAAAATTTGGAAGGTACATATAGTCATACAATTTTTAGTGTAATATATTAATTCATTTTTAATGTAATATATTGATTCAATTCTTTGTACATACATTAACAATTATTGCATATTAATAATTAATAATTGCATATTAATGCATATTAATAATTATATTGCAAGATAAGATATATTTGTTTGAAAACTAATAAGAAGGAAAAATCTTCTGAAAAATAATTTGAAGAATAATTTTTGCATTGCTCTATTTTTAAATAATCATATAATCTGTAATCTAATTGTAACTTTATTTAAAAGAACAATGCAAAAATTATTTTTCTAATTATTTTTTCATTGTTCTTATATTTTTATAAAAGATAAAAAAAATTTAATAATCTTTTTTTATTCTTCTTATTTTTTGCATAAATGAAAAGAATATGAAATATAAAACATAGCGAACATATATATGAACATAATTTATATATAATTATAATATATATTATATATATTTATATATATGATTATATATAGATTTTTTCCGCGAGTATTGAGAAATATTCTTTTGTATTTTTATAAGATATCTTGTAACAACTAAAGATGTAACACCAGGAGAAGCCATAATTCGAGAAGAACCGATTGCAGTCGGTCCGATGACATATAACAAGAACTATTATTTCTGTTTCGCGTGTTTGCGCTCGTTACCAAAAATCGGCACAGGAAACCGGTATACTTGTTCCAGATGTAATTTCGTACCACTGTGTAGCGTTGCATGCGAGGTAATGAATAATCAAATTCTTAAAAAGAAAAAAAGTGGAAGAAAAAAAATTCGCGTTTTTAAAAGATAATTGGCGAAAAATTATTGACCTCGTAAAACTTCATTTGTTTAAGAATATAAAAATATATAAAAAGACGTTTGAGAACCGCTACATGTTACATAATACTATATCACTTTTAATTTTAATAACGCTTTTAAAATTTTGTCTCTTTTTTTTCCTATCTTTAAAGGCTCGAACGAATCATCATACGAATGACGAATGTCAAATATTTAAAGAGAATCGAGAGCTGTTGGCGAATATTGAAATTAACGCAACAAAAATTTTGCTAGCCTTGCGATTATGGCTAACAAAATACAGAAATCCGTCTATATGGGAGAGAATAAATAATATGGAGGCTCATCTAAATAAAAGAATCGACACGCTTGTTTGGAAGGAAAATGAAATCGATGTTGTAAATGTGAGTTTCATGTAAATCAGATTACATTAATGTTAAAACATTTGACATTCTACATTTAATCTAATCTACATTTAATCTAATCTACTTTCTGCACAGAAAAGAAATAGAGGAAATAGCATAAATATCCCCAAAATATTAAAAAAAAAATTCATTTAAAAGTATCAAAGATATTTCAATGATTATCGCTTATTCAAATTATCCACTATTTTTATATATATGTATATATACATGTGTGTGTGTATGTGTGATAGGTGATTCAAAAACTTCGCATGCCCGATAAGACTGAGCCACCGAGTGCAGAACTGATACAAAAATTATGCGGCATCTTGGATATAAATACCTTCGAATTGCGATCGCCTAGCATTTTGGACGGTCTTCTGCTTCGGGGTTTGTACATCGAGGCATCCCTCATGAGCCATGATTGCAGGGGCAATACTTATCTTACTATGGATGACAATTTTCAGCTGACTGTTTACGCAAGTGTCCCGATCAAGCAGAATGAGCCTATTCTTTTCAATTATACCTCGTCACTGCTGGTCAGTCAATGGCACAAATTCGGAAATTAATATCTTTTCCCTTTCGAATATCACGCCAATATTATCTGATGATTCAATTAAATGATTTTTTTTTATTGGCAAATATATCTTTCTCGTTTCTTTCGTTATTTCTAAGAATCATCTGATGACGATATGCTACGTCAACATTAAAATAATAATTTTTTATTTTATAACATAATATAATTAGGGTACAGCCGAGAGAAGACAGCATCTTCGAGAGGGAAAGTATTTGGAATGCGAGTGCTCTTTGTGCAAGGACCCTTACGAATTGCAATCGCATTTGAGCAGTGTGCTATGTCCGCGCTGCAAAGAAGGATTCGTGGGAATGCAAGATACCTTTGTCATCGCACCATATGAGCGAGCGAGTCGATGGCAATGCCAGATGTGCAAGAAGACTTACAGCGGTCGTCTTATCAGGGCTACGTTGAACATATGCAAAACACTTATCGATAAGTGCGAAGATTTTGACGTAAAGATTTGTAAAATATAAGATGTAAAATCAAGCATATTTATATTATTTCCAATTCCATTGCAAGGATCTAATATTTTTTTAGGGTATTGACGACTTGCTTAAAAGATTATCCCGATCTTTGCATACCAATCATTTCCTCATGTTATCGTTAAAGCAGAAATTATTGACGGCGTGTAGAAGAGAGATAACATCTCTCAATCCTCGAAGGAAGATTGTACAGAAGATGCTGGATACGTGCAAGGAAGTCTATGATGTTTTAGATATAGTAGAGCCGGGCATATCACGTTCAAAAGGTATATTGTTTACATGCTGTACAATTGTATGAGAGTACTTTTCAGTATTATTGCAAATATTTCAGGCATAATGTTATATGAAATGCATTTGCCTATGATAATATTGGCGAATCAATCCTATTCCGCGCGCGAGATCTCATCAGCGCAATTGGTCTGTCAGCTGGAAGAGGCTCGAGTTCTTTTAAAGAAAGCTTTGACTATGCTTCTTTTGGAACCAGCAACGACTCCAGAAGGAAAATTAGCTAAAAGAGCGCTCGAGGAATTACGTACGCTAAATCAAAATATAAGTGACGTAAAATCCTTACCGCCAGAAGAACCAAAGTACATGCGTAGAGTGAAAAAACAGCACAAGAAGATCAAGTGATACAGAGTCCCGTTTTCTTATTAATTTGTATATTATGTGATAATTTCATGTTTTGCAAATAACAACTATGAGCTAAAACAATTATCAAATGCATTACATTGTGAGTGGTAAAAAAATTCGTATTATCTTTTATTAATATATTATTTGCGATCATATTGTGATTGATATACTATTTGTGCATTTATGATAAATTTATATTATTTGTTTTTTTTTTATATTCTCTAATTATTAGGATTACGAAATAACAGCGTTATAAATTTTGTTTGTAATAAAAATGTAACTTTGATATATTTTTTTTAATAATGATAACTCCACATTTATTTATGTTATTTTTTGAACTTATATTTGTCAACATAAATAAGCACACATAAAAAGTATCTTTAAACATGAATATAATAATTTATTATGCATAACTATTTTTTAAATATAACTTATAATGACGTTAAAAAATAACCGAAATTGTTATCGAATCGTTATAAATTTCCGTTAATAAATCCGTTATTTCTTTTAACGTTATTATAAATTATATAAAAAAAAATTTTTTTTCCAATAATACACACACGCACATTACAAAAGAAAATAAAAGAGCAAATTTTATTAATCATACATCTTTATGAAAAAAATATTTACAGTTTTATAAATGGAAAATTACGCAACTTAAAAGCAAATTTCAAAACAATTGCAACTGAAAAAAGTTGTAATTTAAAAAGTTTCTTTTTTTTCTATTCTGATCTGATTGAGATATTTTTCTTTATACATATAATCGTTACTTATTAATATGTAATGATTATATAATTATATAATACTGTATTGTCTTGCATTTTTGGAAATTCTTTTTTATTACTTTATTATAATTAATAAAATAATAAATAATTAGAGTGAAAAAAAACAGATTATATATTCATATATTTGTGTGTTTGATGTATTTGTATGTTTGATGTGTATTGATTTGTACGTACCTCCATACAAATTTGAATATATTCATATAAATTTTCATTTCCACACACAATTAATTTAAAGAAATAAGTAACACTCCGAATTTCTACAATTATGTTTATATATTATAGATTCAAAAGTTATTTGTAACACTATATGAAAATTCTTTTCAAAAACTTTGTAATTTTAATAATAGAATTTTAATAGTAGAATGTTATATAAGAGTATCGATTTGAAAAAATAAAATCATTTCATTTCGTATATTAATGAAGAAAATAAAATATGAATTACAGCACTCGGTTTTTATCATTGTTTCTCCTCGATATTTGTACTGGAATCGACACCGAGATCACTTGAGCAACCACCATGTATGAACATTTTTGGAATGTCTTGCCCGTAATATATTTTCGCGTTGCGCGCCAATGAATCGTACTTCTTGAGTTCTAAGAATTCCTTAGATAAAAGTAGCTTATTCGCCTCGGCCTGCATTTTCATTTGGTAGAATTCGGCATCCGAACGGCTCTTTTGTCTCGCTAAATGCATCTCATCCTCTATCGCAGCCATTTGTTGCAAAGACTCTTTCTCCATAATTTTTTGATTATATTGAATTTTTGCAACCTGTGCTTCTTTTTCAGCTTCAATAACAGCCTTTTTGCGATCTGTCTCAGCATCTTTCTCAACTACTTTTTGATGTTGTGTGGATATTAACAGCTTTGTTTTCTCTGCTTCCCTGGAGATATAAATATAAAACATAATTGAAATATATAATCCAAAATTGAAGTAACATATGAAATATATAAAATATAAAAATATACAAAAAATCATTTTAAAATTTAAAAAAGAAAATCAAATAATAAATCAATTAATAAAATAATTACTTACATCAATTCATAATTTTTCCTGATTGTTTCAGGAATTTTTGGTTTTGTTACTCTTACAGCTTGTATATTGAGACCAGGCGCTAATTCATTTAAGTCCCTTTGAAGTGCAGTTTTTAAATTTTCATCAATTTGATCGAACAAATCAATGTACACTTCATGTAATGTATGTACTGAACAAAACTGATTTAATTCATGATGCACTTTATTAAAAATTAAGGTACGATCATAATCTGCTGTGAAATTTCTCACCATATTGTAAACTGCAAAAAATAGATGTGTTAAAGAATATATAAAATACAACTATAGAATAAGATATTGATATATTCTCGAGGAAAATTGAAAGAATAAATTGCTAAAACTTACCGCTATTTGCATCCAATATATTCACAACTTCTATACGATCAAAGTAAATCATTACACCACCACTAGTTCCACATGGCACATTCTTCACTTCATCCGTCTGCAAAGTTACTTGAACTGCACGATATGTGGTCAACAATGGTATCATCATATGAAAACCTGGATGACTCACTTGGGGTAACAATGCACCACCCTGACAGAGACATAGACTTTCATAAAATATAACAATAAGAAAGTAATGAGATTCTTGGACACGATAGAAAAATACTTGAAATAACTCACCCGGAAGTACACCCCTACATGACCTTCTTCAATACGATGAAGAGAAAAGTTAAATACTATTGCAAAACATACAAGGAAGCCAACTGCTATAATCCTTTGATCAAACATAATTATCCGTTTATAATGCGCTAAAAAAAAGATACACAAATAAGATATATGTATATAAATAATGCACAACTATATACATATACAGAGTATATTCAAAATATAAAGAGTGAGTCATGAAATTCGAATAGCTTGAAATAATAGTATCGCATTTAACTCGTAGCGATAGTTACATAATGTATAAATATAAAACGATAATTATATAGCGCATAATTAGCAAATCAACTCAGAGCTGAAATGATTCCTATAAATTAGAATTTAGAATACAATATAGAGGTTATTTAAAGAATAATCGTGCGTGTGTATGATATACAAATCATAATACCTTTAACTCAGAAGACGAAAAATGTGTATTACAAAATAATGACAGATGCGTGATTATAATTAGAAATTACAACATAGTCGATTAAATTCATATTTATGAAATAAGTCGCTTGATCTCATCTAGTAGCCATAGCGCTCCCTCTCAATCACTCCCTTCGATAAGGAAGATATCGACTTTGGAAAAAATATGATCGGGACAATGGAAACTAATATCAGAGAGAAGACTGAAAGATGTCATGGTCTGCTTTTATGTGATCCCTGAAAACGATACTCCCTCTATGGACATTGAAAACGACATGAACTACAAAGCCAATGTCCCTGAGTGTTCTTAGAGGGTAATATATAATGTGTACAATTTCTGGTTTTGTTCCATGCTATGTGCACAAAATGCCGGTAGCACCAGTGCTATCAGTGCTGTATAACAAGATACTTATATATGTAAATTGATAGTAAATAAATTATTCAATCGCGAAAGATACTGTAATATTCAAAGATGAAATAAATATTTTTCTATATTCATTGTCATATTTATATTTTTTTACTTACAAAACACAAAATGCCTGCGATGGGATAAAAACATTTTTAATCGTATTTATATAAGTCTTTTTAATTAGCAGTAAACTGATCTTTAATATTTATCAATTATTTTTTTAATTATTTCAAAATTTAATTATTAATACATGTATAAAATTTGTCAAATTAATCACTGATTCTTCTGAAGTTTTTATAATTAAGACTCGAAAAATAGCCCTAACAATCTTATTTCTCGATTAAGTGAAATTATTTGAGGAAAGCCTATCTCTAATCACGTATATTTTAATTACGTGCCCTAATTACATTCTCTAACCGCATGCCTTAACCGCATGAATAAATGTCCGACATTACGTACTATTGTACGTAAAGCTTTTCTTCAGGCCAGTTGAATTTACTTTTCGTTGATCCTGGCCACTTTCTCGCTCGATCTCTAGATCTCAGAGATCGAAAAAGGAGATAAATACTCCTTCTTTTGCCGATTAATTACTGGCAAATGAGCGTAAATAGTTCACGCCCTCATCGTAACGATCGCTCGATTTTACGATCGTTCGTTAAATATTTGAATATAACTTTATTTTAACTCAAATAAAGCCAAATTACTACAAATTTCTATATATTATACTTTCTAATAAAATATAAAATTCATGTGTACGTATAACTTTTATGATATTACAAATTATTTAATTAATTAATTTGGATTTATATTAAGTTAAAGTAAAGTTTAAAAACAATATCTACAAACAAATTCTACAATGGATGAGCTATGATATAAGAAATTAGAATAAAATAAGTGCGCGTTATAAGAATAAAGTAGTATCAAAAATTGATAAAATTGTTAAAATTATTAATGCGTGCTCTTGATTTAATAAACTAGTCAAGTCTTTACAAAAAAATTTTCTTTTCTTGATTCTCTTTTTTAAATTAATACTTTAATATATTTTCGCAATAGATGCAAAGCATTTCGAAAGAATTTATTAAAAGTTATTTAATTTAATCTATCCTAGCTCATCCATTTTAAGGCAACGGACTTACTACAATTCACAATTCACAATCTACAATCTACAATCTACAATCTACAATCTACAATCTACAATCTACATCTACAATCTCTACGAATCCGTTACCTTAAAGTTAAATAAAAGTTTTTCTCACTCACCGGCACTGATGCGCAACAGCGGAGTTGTTGTTATCGAAGCTATGTTGTCTGTAACATACAAATATAAAATTCATTTATATTAATGCTCACAAAATGCAATCAATATTTCAAAAAATTTTTATCGCGCGGAATTTTATATCCGATGTGTAAAATAATAAGCAGAGATAAAGACATGTGGAAAAATTTTATAAAATTTTAAAACTGTTTTTTAAGAAAGTTTTTTAAAAAGTTTTATATAACTTTTATAAAAATCTTTCTCTCTAATTTTCTCTTTAATTCATTTAAATAATAAGATCAAATTATTATGCATACGATTTATAACAATTGATATACAAATAATAAATATTCACCATCAGGTTGCTCCGCTGATGCAAGATGCCTCTCCTAGGCCTCCTCCTCCTCTCATGTTGTTGACGCGCGATACTTTCAACGGCACTCCCGCACTCACGAGCGATATTTTTATATCGCTATTTTCGTTATTTTACGCGTGATACTAAACGGCACTCCCGCACTACTTCGGTATTCGGATTAAAAATTTGGTCGCGCGATGTATATATTTAATATATATATACTTTCAACGACACTCCCGGTTTCGGTACGAGCGAAAATCTCATTTCATTTACGAGACTTAACTTTGAGCCAACAGGTCGGGAGTGCAACGATACAACGAGCAAAGATTAGGCCCGAACCGGAAAGAAGACGAAACGATTGAGGAATAGAGGAAAATAAAGTTCACCAGCTCTTTTTCGCGCATAATTATCCTATCTCGTATCGAACCTGGACCCGCTAAGCATGATTTCAGGTGCTTCGCCCGGAACACGAAGTTTCCCGCAATGCAGGATATGGCTACACCAGGCTGGTAGACGGCAAAAGAAGAGGATACCCACATTTTTTAAATGCTAACATTCAGCAATTTAAAAAATGGGGAGGCAACCCCTTTTACCGAGCGAAAATCATGCTTAGGGGAATCCACTCGACTCCTCGACAGGGTTAACACACGCAGTGCGTGTGGCTGTAGGGTAGACGAGCAAAGAGAAGGGACCCATTGACGACCATTCCGAGCAATCGATCGAGTTCTAAACTAATTCGGGCCGAATCATTTGACGAAGTACGAAGCACGAAGCGCGAGTGTACGTTGCATAACAACGTGTGCAAACTCGAAACATCCCAGTTAGTTGGCATCGAAAGTAGAGACTCGTGACAATAAATGAAATTGGGATTTTATATGAAAAAGTCCAAAATTTCCGCGAAAACGCGACGACGCGAGAATACTACAACGCGAAAACGCGGTAACGAAACGCTTGCCGTCCGCGACACGTTGACGGCACCGACGCGAAAGGGTACTTCGCTTCCCTTTCAGGCACCATAAGATTTATCGTAAATTGAAAAATTTAAAACAAATCTCAAGGCACCATCCAAGTACTAAGCCCTCCCACCACGACAAGGTGTACCCCATGGGAGGGTTATATTATATATAACTTCTTTTATATATAATATAATATATATAATTTAATATATATTTTGTGATATGGTATATAAATTTAAATTTGCATAATAAGACCATAAAACAAAATCATTAAGGCGGTACTGTTTATATCGGATACTATATTGTTGTTAATTCAATGTTGAAATATTTTAACATATTAATGTATTTCATATATCAAACGTATTAATGTATCGTAAGATTAAAAGATTAAAATAATTACATGTTGTGATACATAACTTGTTTAATTAATAAGGATTTAATTAACAAGGAGAATTTTTAAAGTATTGGTCGAAATATAGTTAATTCTAATATTGTTAAAGAAATATTATAAGCATCAGTGATGGATATCATAACATAATTAATTCTTTTATCCTGTTTCATGTATTCCCTGTTTCAATTCTTAATCGCAATAATGAATGATTACGATTCGATAAAGATTTATTGTTGCGATACAGTTTCATGTCGTTAATTAATTTTTAATTAATTAATTTAGTTAATATTTATAGCAAATTATGTTCCGATACTAATCGTAATCGTGTTTAGTAAAAAAATTAAAGTATATGAAACGTTTCTCATCACTACTTTATTACTCCAAAGTCACCGTGCGAATGATGACAAAGCGGTAATGTATAGAGCGCTACTGTTTATAATTTATATTGCTAAAGTCGAACGTCGTGTTCGATAATTCGCTGCTGAATATTTTATATATTATAAAATATATATTAACGTGGAATATTAAATTATACAAATATTTTAATTTATTCATTAAAATTCGTTATTGATTAAACAATTTATCACGGAGCTTTTCGTTATGCTAATTATTTGCATGTATAATTCGATTGTTTTACTTCGTGTTCTCTCAACAATCCAAATTATATTTAGATTGTTAAGAACGATAAAGTGACACGGATGCAATATATTTGTGACTCTAAGTATTAAAATAATAATTATTGTCCGTAAAGATTGCAATTATCGAAGTGATTATTTAATATCTTGGATTCCTATCATTTAATCGATTCTCGATTAAATTGTATATTGTTTAGTTAATAAGGATTGAGAAAATTTAAAGCATTGGTCAAAATATAATTAATTCTAGTATTGTTAAAGAAATATTATAAGCATCAGTGATGGATATCATAACATAATTAATTCTTTTATCCTGTTTTGTGTATTTCCTGTTTCAATTCTTAATCGCAATAATGAATGATTACGATTCGATAAAGATTTATTGTTGCGATACAGTTTCATGTCGTTAATTAATTTTTAATTAATTAATTTTGTTAATATTTATAGCAAATTATATTCCGATACTGATCGTAATCGTGTTTAGTAAAAAATTACAATATACGAAACGTTTCTCACCACTACTTTATTACTCCAGAGTCACCGTGCGAATGATGACAAAGCGGTAACGTATAGAGTGCTACTGTTTATATTTTATATTACCAAAGTCGGACGCGTGTTATCGATAATTCGTTGCCGAAATATTTTATATATTATAAAATATACATTAACGTGGAATATTAAATTATGAAAGTATTTCAATTTATTGATTAAAATTGATTATTTATCAAACAATTCACGGAGCCTTGTTATGCTAATTATTTAAATCTATAATTCGATTGTTTTACTTTACGATTAAATTGTATATTGTTTAATTAACAAGGATTGAGAAAATTTAAAGCATTGGTCGAAATATATTTAATTCTAATATTGTTAAAAAAATATTATAATAATTATTAATTAATCGAAAGTTCATAACATAATTAATTCTTTTATGGCCTTTTGTATCTCCTGTTCCAATTTTTATTCGCAGTAATGAATGATTGCGGTTCGATAAATATTTATCTTTGCGATACAATTTCATGTTGTTTATCAAAAGTTAATTAATTTTTAATTATTAATATTTATAGCAAATTATGTTTCGATACTAATCGTAATCGTGTTTAATACGAAAATTTCAATATACGAAGCGTTTCTCACCACTACTTTATTACTCTAGAGTCACCGTGCGAATGATGACAAAGCGGTAACGTATAGAGCGTTACTGTTTATATTTTATATTGCCAAAGTCGAATGCCGTGTTATCGATAATTCGTTGCCGAAATATTTTATATATTATAAAATATACATTAACGTGAAATATTAAATTATGAAAGTATTTTAATTTATTGATTAAAATTGATTATTTATCAAACAATTTACGGAGCCTTTCGTTATGCTAATTATTTGCATCTATAATTCGATTGTTTTACTTTGTGTTCTCTCACAGTCCTCCCCTCAAATTATATTTAGATTGTTAAGTAGAACGATAAAGTAACACGGATCAAATATCTGTGATTCTAAGTATTAAAATAATAATTATTGCCCGGAAAGATCGCAACGATCGAAGTGATGATTTAATATTTTGGATCATCATTCATTCGATTCTCGATTAAATTGTATATTGTTTAATTAACAAGGATTGAGAAAATTTAAACCATTGGTCGAAATATAGTTAACTTTAATATTGTTAAAGAAATATTATAATAAGCATCAATGAATGATAACATAACATGATTAATTCTTTTATCTTCTTTATACGTATCCTGTGTTTCAATTTTTTTCTTCCCAATCTTTTTATTCCCAGTAATGAATGATTGCGATTCGATAAAGGTTTATCACTGCGATACAGTTTTATGTCGGTAATTTTTTTAAATTAATTAAGACTTATTAATATTTATAGCAAATTATGTTTCGATACTATTCGTAATAGTGTTTAGTACAAAAATTACCATATACGAAGCGTTTCTTATCACTACTTTATTACTCGAGAGCCAAGGTGCAAATGATAACAAAACCGGTGATATGTATAGCACGCTTGCAATACGTCGCCCAGCCCAAACATGATATTATTGATAATTTTTTGTCGAAATATTTTACGTACTACATATACACGCGGAATTTTAAATTATAGAGGTATATTTTATTTTAAATTAATTATTAAACGATTGTATCACGGAACCTTTTATTACGATAATGATTTGAATTTATTCGATTGTTTTACCGTGCTTTTCCAAAGTCAAATTTTATAATATTTAGTTTTGCATTTTAAAAGACTGACTTAGAGCGAACTAAATAAATAAATAAATATATAATATAAGTATATAATATAAATATATAATATGAATAATAGCGTGAAAAGAGAGAACATACTAATATTCTTATATAACAAATTATTATTAATTAGATTATTTATATTTTTATTTATATTATTTATATTATCAGAGGGACATATATGTTACCCTCTGAAAATATTCGTGGACATTGGTTTTGTAGTTCATGTCCATGTTTTTAATGTCCACAGAGGGAGTATCGCTTCCAGGGATTACCTAAAAGCGAGCTATGACATCTCTCAGTTTTCTCTCTGCTAATATTAATTTTCCTAAAATAAAACATTTTATTATATTAGTTTTTATCTTCAATTAATTGAATTTAATTTTTATTTATGATATTTTTTTATTTCCTTTAATGGTACATAAAAAAATCTAAAAAAATTATATTATTGATTTGAAGTAAAATTTCTTTAGTCGTCTTTTTCAGACACGTGGCAGTCTGACAGTGGCGGTTAGTTAAGCAGTGGGGATAGGGATGATCAAATATTTGACAAATTTAATACTTTGTCATTATATTACAATAATTCTCTCCTCCTTTGTTAATCAAAAATTAACTAATATATGTACATAATTTTTCGTATTTTTCTTTTAATTTTAATTGCATATTTGTTAATTTTAAATTAAATATATGTATTTCACATTATGGAAAAGAAGTGACAATATTTGTAAATATCGATTTAACATATCTGTTTGAAAAGTAGATGTATCGATTAGATTTTCAATCATTTCGATTAATCGTTTTGAATCGATTCTCTCGTCTTGTTGACGATAAAGAGGTTCAGTGAATGAAAATTCGGAAATGACAGTTTGAGATGTATAAATAACTTTTACATATTTTAACGGTGTTTTAATTTATTGTTTTTACGATTTATTTAAAAAATGGAAGTTAAAACGAAAAGCGATCATTTATTGGCATTAAAAGGTAATATTGTTAAATAATAATTTATATCATTTTTTTTACAACTTTTCAGATTATGTTATTTTAATCGAGCAATTATTCTATTAAATATAATTAAATATATAGAGAAAATGAAAAAAATTATATCCACAAAGAGATTGCTAATAAAATATTTTTACAGTGATGAGATTAACACGACCTACTTTGGCAAGTCCTATGGTTGTTACATGTGATTCAACAGACTTACCAGGTAATACATTAAACAATGAACTCAAAAGCGATTGTACAGCATTGCAAGGTATGGAAGCGCTTGCTATAGGACAATTTATGGTGTTACCTCAAAGTTTTGGGTATGTTTTTTCAATTTAGAACTACTCCGTGTATTTAGAAAGAAAAATTTCCAAACGAGTTTCTGTAAGATTACTCGAGTGATATTTGTGTTTTATTTTAGGAATATATATTTAGGAGAGATATTTTCTAGCTATCTATGTGTACATAATGGTAGTAATCAGGTGGTGAAAAATGTTACTGTAAAAGTAAGTTTCAAAATAATATATATTTCAAGATAATAACTTTTTTAGATTGTATCAAATTTTTATATTCTTTAATGTCTTGTTTTTTTTAATATATTCCAGGCAGACTTACAAACAAGCACACAGACAATTTCTCTTTCTGGTAATAGTTTAGAAGGAAAGGAATTAGCACCTGATAGTACAGTTGATGAAGTTATTCACCATGAGGTTAAAGAAATAGGAACACATATGTAAGGATATTTAAATTATAAGTTGTTATAAAATTAGTGTTTATAAGTTGTTATAAAAATTTTAAATTTAAATAGAAAATATATCTGTCTATTTCTAGATTGGTTTGTGAAGTGTCTTATACAAATCAGATTGGACCTCCACTGTCGTTTAGAAAATATTTTAAATTCCAAGTAGTTAAACCACTGGATGTAAAGACAAAGTTTTATAATGCAGAGGTAATATTTAAATATCTAACTATATTTAAGTTATATATTCTTATACAATCCTTATTCTGCTATATGTTTTCACAATAATATTTTTTAAAGTCAGATGAAGTATATCTCGAGGCACAAATACAAAATCTAACAGCTGGGCCAATTTGTTTAGAAAAAGTTGCTCTTGAATCATCTCATTTATTTAGCGGTAAGTTGTCATCAATTAAAATAGTTATAATTAAGAAAAATATTTTATTTTTAACTTTAAGTTTTATTTTTGAGAGAAATATATTTCATTTTAGTAACTACACTCAATATAAATGACGAAGGAGAATCTATTTATGGAAGTGTAAATTTACTGGATACAAATTGTAGTAGGCAATATTTATATTGTTTAAAACCACAACTAAGCTTAATGAAAGATCCGAAAATGATGCAAAACGCTACAAATATTGGAAAATTAGATATTGTATGGAGGAGTAATTTGGGAGAGAGAGGAAGATTACAAACGAGTCAATTGCAAAGAATGGTATGTTACATTATACACTAATAAATATTCATATATACATAAAATTTCATTATCTTAGGCACCTGAATACGGAGATCTGAGAGTAATCATGAAGGACATACCTTTGAAGGTGAATCTTGAAGAACCAGTCAATTGTACATGTCATATAATAAATACATCGTAAGTTCGACTATATGATTTAAGAGAAAAAAAACGTATGATATATTATTATAAATATAATTATAATTCTTTTATTGTCTTATAAATAGAGAAAGAAGTATGGAATTACTATTGAGTTTAGAGTCCAATGAGTCTATAGCTTGGTGTGGAATATCCAATACAATGATTGGTAGTTTGAAACCTGGGGTTTCTATGGATATACCTCTCTGTTTGATTATGTTGAATACAGGCATTATTGTGAGTAATTTATTTATATATGTGTTAATATACTATTAAATGATAATACGTTTTTTTCTGTTTTTCGCAGACTATCTCTGGATTAAAATTAACAGATACATTTTTAAAAAGAGTATATGACTATGATGATCTAGCTCAAATTTTTGTCAATCAGTTGGACTGAAATGTATAAAAACACTTTTTTGGATTTTGGCATTTGCTATTTATAAACATAATAAACAATCATGTTTTATATAATTGAAATTATGTAGAATATTTTATGAATTAATAGAAGATTTGCACATAATGACACATTTGTATTTAAATATAACATATTTAAACATAAGTATTAGCTTACTTTTGTAATAAAGAGATCTTTATTCAATTGTTTTAACATAGCTGAAATCTAGTATCTTTAAAATGTATAAAAATATATATTGAATGCTGGGCAATCTCTGAGCTTTCTCATTTTGTTTATTAAATTTTGTTATATAATAGTTATATAAAAACAAATGTAATATTGATGTATACTAGAATGCTGAAATGTTCATAAATATCCATCTAGTGTTGACATTTTTTCATTTTCATTAACAGCTCCTACCGCACACGCGAGTAATGTTTGAATGTCTCGTGGTTCATTTCCACCGAAAACATATCCGCTGGCTTTATCCACCGCGTTTTTCACTTGCAGCAATAATGCTTTATTAGAAACGTCTAAAGGTATAAAACTGACAAGACTATAGCCTTCAATTATCGATACTAATGCTTTGTTAAGTTTCTTGTACCTGTAATTAAATACATTGAATGTATTTAAAAATTTGTCATAAAATACTTTATAAATTAATAAAACACATTCACATTTGAACATAATATATTTAAGTACGATTAGCTTACTTTGCAATAAAGAGATCTTCATCCAGTTGTTCTAAAAGATAATTTAAATCCAGTACTTCTGTGTAAAAATCTATATTAAATGCTAGACGATCTTTAAACTTTTTCATTTCATCAAATTTTGTCATAATATTTACATGAGGCAAACCTATTTGCAACATCACTGTGGTACAAAGAATCAGAGAGGATAAATATTTTCCTATAATGGATAAAAAAAAAAGATTAAACTATATTAAATGACCAGTGAAATTCTAATCATTTCATGTAATTATTTATTTAATTATTTATTTAATTAAAATAAATACATTACCAGGATCACTACAATGATGTGAATCTACAAGATGCACACTGCATAATCTCACTAAATTCTGGCTCAATTTTTCTGCTATCCGACTCACTGATTTGTGATGCGTATACAATTCGACCTGTTATATTTTATAATGTATTATTTGTTCACTATTAGAAAATAATTGGAGAGAATATTGTCACAACTTACTTGACCCGGACAATCAAAAATAAGATAGTGATCCCTTAAATTCAAAACTCTTGTAATGAGCCACTGCACATTGGTTTCTAGAAATTCCATACAATGAACTAAAGCACCATTTGGTCCAAGCCCAAAGTCTGTCATAACATCTTCGTGTTTAATCAATTCAGATATGTCTATTGCTGGAACATATTCCATGTTTTCATTTGCTGGATCTAAAAATGTAAAAATTTCTAATTTAGATTTAATCAAAGAAGTAACTAAAATTTTATATTCATACTTACCAATGTTAATAACAGCTACTTTTCTTCCAATAGACTCTAGAAATTTTGACATTGCATTACAATATGTCGTTTTCCCACTTCCAGGAGGTCCAATAACGAGTTGTCCATAAATTAAGGTCATAATGATTGAGTTGATATTATATTACCACGATTTTATTTGATTCACAGCAGCAACAACAGATTTTAGAGTCTTTACGTTGTAATCCTTTAAGGCTATTGATAGCAATAAAGGTTTTTCAATGTTAATTTCTTGCGCTATATATCTGGCAGCTACATGAATATCATTGTTGTCACTACCAAAGAGTGTCCTGGAAATTTTAATTTTATTTAAATATATGTCCAGCTCTTTAAATTGTTATGGTAATTATTATCATTTACTTTATTGTAAATACATCGCTTGTATAACCGTTTACAGAGGATTCACGATTTATCATCAATAATGTTCCAAATTTTTTAAAATGCGTTACAATCAACAGTGTCCGATTGCTATAAAAGATATATTGACATTAAATAAAAGCTTTCTTAAAAAAAGATAAGGAAATTACATTGTAGTACCTGTAAGGTCTTAAAACAATATCAGTATGATGGCCATTTATAACGATACCACAGGAACGTTCAGTCATATTTTTTACACATGAATCAGCATGAATACACAAAGATCAACTATAGTCAAAATATCAGTTGCAGTTGCAGCAGACATAGCCTTCTTGAGACTTCTCTCTGATTGCCGACATGTTATCGTTATTCGATATCAAATAATCGATCAAATAATTTTTTTATATCGATAAAATATCGAATAAAAACATCGATTAAAACTAAATATTTTTAAACAATTTATATTTTGTGTAACAAAATTATAAAATAAAATTATAAAATAATTTCGCTATTTAATCAAACATTAACTAGATAACTTTAAATTATTCATATTTTATACAAAAATGACTATAAAATAATTTTAATTATTTTCTTTATAATATATCAAAATAATTTTATTGTATATTATTGCGTATTTTAATTTTTTTATATATTACTCATTACTTGATTATCGATCGATATACCAAAAATTCTTTTGTCGATTATTGAATAGTTGTATAAATTTTAATTAATCGTGTCATAAAAAAAAATTATATTCAAAATGGAACCAAGTACACCATATGAAAAAACTAGTTTATATAATTTATAATTTATGATACCTAGCATATAAAAAAATATTTTATATAAATTTATTAGATAAAAAAATTCAAACAATTTTTCACTTATGACATCATGATTAAAGTTAGTTGAAAAGAAGTTCTAAATGTACCATCTTTTAAAAATCATTAACTTTGATGGATGATTTTTTCCAGAATTTTTTTGAACACTAATAAACAAATCGTCATAAAAAAAATCAGCTAAAGTTAAGAACAAGACAGAGAGAAACGAATTTTTCCATGAGCACTTGATGAGCGCAACAATTGTTTTCAAAAAGATTTAATAATAAATTCACAATTAACAACTCCACGATATATAAATGCGTTTTAAGGAAGAGTTTAGTAAATGTAAAAACAACGTGACTTCAAGTAGAGATTTTATTGAAATATAAGGAATCTGTACCAGACAGAACTAAAATTACGGTTGAATTTGGATCTACCGGGGTTCACGTATCGTATATGCCTGCGTAATCGCTGCTTTATCGTTTCACGTTTATCGTATAATTGTAGTCGGAATATTTATAAGTACAGAAACAATATCGAGAGAAGGTACGCGCACAGTCTATCTTGAACTTCTAAAGCTAAGAAAAGGATTTTTTTTCTCTACAGAGACCTATAGTTGCAATCTTACGTTTACAACTAGAGGGGAAGGGAGGAAGAGAAGGAATTTCTCTCTTTATCTCTATGTACAATTGATAATTCAATGATTTATATAAGCCATTCTCATGCGCTTCGCTCGCTATGGCGAAGACACGTACAGTATTCGTTCAATTATTTACAATTTTTACAAGAAACACTCTCAATATACAGTGGTACATTACAACAATTTTAATGTATAGTTTATTCTCCTGCATTAATAATTGCAACGAATCTGGCAATCTAATTGTACGCAAATGGCCCCGTTAAAAAAAGGAAAAAAACAGATCTTTTTTTTGTTATTTACACGTTTCCCAAGAAGTCGTCAAATTTTTTTAAAAATTTCTATAAAATCTCATCGGATCTTTAAATTACAATTTTATTGACATGAGTTATCTACCACGATAATCATACTAACGCAAGAGGCATTATGCTGAATGTCCAACTCATTTTCAAATGAGTGTGCGGGGGACACAGTTGCACATACACAGTCTAATTACAACTATATTATATATAAGAATGTAGAAACCTAAAAATCTTTGTGTTAGTCATAATAAATAAGCAACGTATACGTAAATTTAATTAGGGTGTGTGTGTATTTATGTGTGTATAATATAAATGTGTGGCGTGTATGTATTAAATATATATTAAATTATTTCTATATATTTAATATATATTTAATATTATATTATATAGAAATTTTATATTTAACTTAATATAAGAGGATCTATCGCAATATTCTCTTTTCCATAGCATCACATCACATTTTACCAAGGACATTTCTATTACACGATAGAAACTTTTTGGGAAAATGTTCAAGATGTTTTTCGATTTTACTATATTGGTATAGAAAGAATATACAAATTATTATAAAAATGAATTATTAGAACTCACTCATATTCTTATATTTCTTTTCATTATTCCTCCGGCATATTTCAAGATTTCGCTTGAACTGAAGTCAGTACAATTGTGGTCGGAACTCTTCAATCTCTTTCTCAAGTGATTTACATAGATTTATTTTACATAGTACCTATAGAAAAGAAAAAAAAATTGGAACACGTTATCGAATATCTTGAGAGAAGTTCTAGTCTTAACGATAAGGAAAATGATTTAAGAAAATAAGAGAATATGAGGAGTAAATAGAGAGAAAAAACATACTGTGTCCTAAGCAAAAAGATCGTTTTTTTCAATCCGTAGAGGAAAGAAAAAAGATTTAAAGCTATTTCACATTGAGTCGAAACATCACATTATCGCACAAGCCATTTTGATCATAACTTTTTAAGTAACGCTAGCGTCTTCCGTTTCCTCAATTTGGAAATAAAACTTTTTTCGCCGATCATGAAGTAGTCTTAAAATTCTGTCGTACAATAGAAAAAGAATAGCATAAAATAGATAAAATTAACGGGAAAAATTGGTCCAAATTCTTTATGCCAATTTTGAATAATGTTATTGACTATATCACTGGATTACGAAAACGCATGATGCACAGGGGATGTTCTTTTTACGGTATGTAATGATCGAAATGTACGAATATAGTTTCACTAAGAAATTAGAAATGATCATACTGTCGATATATGTAACAAATATACTGCAACGAATGAAAATATTTAATTACAAATGAAGGAAATCGCAAAATCGAATACAAAGTAATGTATGTCTTGTCAAATGATACCGCAAGTTAGTTTAACGCATCGAAACCGAAAACTAACTGAAATATCTTGGCACAATCTTTCTATGTTAATTAAATATGACATTTCGTGATCATTCGAAATTCTTAGTGAAATGCTTATACTCTGGCATCCTCACATTCGAAATCTAATTTACACCTTTCATTGCTGACATAGCAAAAAATAGATACATAGTGGGATAAAAATAGATTATACAAAAGTTTAGAACTATTTTTTTTTTCAAAATAATATAATCCGAAACGTTTTCCTCTTTTCCTCTGGAATCGCTTTTCCGTGATATAGTTTTGATATTCTAAAAACGAATTAGAAAAATATTTTTTCTATCTCGTATATAATACACATATGTATCCCGTAGTAGAAACAAAAGTTTTATCTATAGCCTCTTAGTAAAGTTTTAAGAGAAGCAAATAATTAAAACAACTAGAAGACGTAGCATCCATTAATGTTATCTAGATCTTCAGCATGTATGTGGTTAAAATCTATCAAGCGTTTTGAAATATACAAATGTATATTGTAATAATAATTATGACGTGTATTTTCGTTTCATCATATATATTATTACAATATCTTTATAATAAATTTACATAGATTCTGAGTAAAAGTATTTTTCGCAAATGACTTTAAATTTTTAATTTGGCAGAAAAAAATCCTGTACTACTGATCACTCTAGTTTCACTGTACTTTATTCGAATTTTTTGAGATTTTAATGCATTATATTAGATTTCTGCGCGATGCTCGATTATTATTAATTTTTTCGCGATACTATGATATCATCTTCATCTTTCAATCATTAGAAAAGTTTAAATTTGCTTGCTACTATGATTACATCCTGACTTAATATCCGGTGTGTGAAAATAATTTATATTTATTTACAATTCAATACAATTCGGAGTAGATATCCCCGATGCAGGGCTATTGATAGATATCATTCTCGAGGGTTCAAAGGGTTTCTTTGGGATCTCTCTCCCGAAAGAAACCTTTTTCAGTCTTGCATTCCCTGATGGTAACAGTTTTCAAATTAACAGTAACGTCCGTGATAAACACTTGATCTGCTACTGGGTTCCTCGCGTGCCAATAATCTGTGCTGGGGCTTGTGAGCGGAGCATAGATTTCCGATTTCGGAATTTCGGTCTGCTTGACGCTCGAAGTATTATTGTTATTGTTATTGTTGTTATTGTTAATGTTATTATTATGATGTCCGTTTACGACGGTCGGTAACCTATTGTTGTTGGTGTAAGAATCTGTCGGACTTGGTGACTTATGACCGTTCGCTTTGTCAGCAGTGACTGCCCCATTCGATTTGTCCTGTTTCTGCTCTGACAAATGCCTCTTTTTCGTTGAAGGTTGTTCTAGAGGTGTATCTATTTGGGGAGACAGCGGTGCCGGCGGTGCACGTGGAAGAGAGGGCGGTGGGCCATGAGGTACGTCAGCTTCAGGACGCTTTTTATCCTGTACTGCTGGTGCCGGTGTCGTTGGCACCGCCGGAAGAGGTTCTTCCGGCGTCGACTTTACGCTAGAAGACGACGGCCTTCTACCGTTGACTTTGTGACTCTGTACCGATAAAAGGATTCCACTTTTATATCGCCAAGAAAAATGTGAAAAATACTAAGATCCATTTAACGTTTGACATTGTTGGGCGCCATACAGTTATTGGTGAGACATTTTCATTCTTCAATAAGCTATATTAATTCTACAAATGAGCTGTATGTGTATCAATCAAAATTGTGATCGCAAGAATATCAGAAAGAAGAATAAAAATGATGCTACTAATGATTGTATAGCGCTCAACAATAATAAATGTTAAATGGTTTTCAGTATTGTATTTTGCAAATAAATTACGATATAATAACACAATTATGATATAATAAAAGTTGATATCACGACCATATGATATCAACTTATTAGCAAATTATATTTTCATGTTTCGAAACTTACGTGATAAGATGGCGTTGTAGGATTGTTCTTCAAAGGCAATAACCGAGGAACTTTGCTTGGCGGCGGACTACTATTACCAGTGTTGGGATTGCTCGTGGTAATTGTCACGCCAATCTTGCCAGATTCTTTGCTGAGAACTTCCGCCTTCCTCTTTGTACCCAGTCCTTTGCTGGGCAACAGTGGCATATCCACACTACTGTTGGAACTGTCAGAATCGACGCTAAATGTTGACGCCAATTCTGGTGGTGTCGGAGACTCGTGACCGTCCAAGGAACTCGGGAGTGTATCTTCGTCCGGAGCTACTGGGTTTAAACGAGGCGCTGAAGTGCTGCCTGTTGTCGATTCGTCTTGACTGTCTTCACCTACTCTTTCATCTCCACCGGGCTCTTCCTCGACTACCAGATTAGCTAATACTTGTTCCTGAAAATAAAAGATCGGTTATTATCAATTATAAATCATTTAAAAGAAGAACACGTCTCCAACATAATCTTATTAATTTTTTATTTTAAAAATGAGAAAAGATTTCACGACTAACTATACTTGCTTAATGAGAAAATGATGTTGTATAGAAATCTTTTGACGTGGTAGCACCTTTGAATTTGACAAATATATATATAAATAACAGATGTATAGATGCATTTACACATTATAAAAAAGGTATTTGACAAAGGTATTTAATAGAGCTTTATGTTTGGGAAGTATTTGAGAAATTTCTCTATTTTTTAGAATCATATAAACTTAATTTCTTTGAATTAAAAAAAATTTTTTTTAGGAAATGTTCAATCGAACGCGATAAAAGTAACAGAAGATAAAATAAGATTTATACAAATCATCATTATAAATTACGCATATGATAAAGTCAAGAATGTTAGCAAAATTAATTTAACTTGATTAACTTTATCTTTAATGCAATTTTATCAAAATCAATTTATTTAGAATTGAATTAAATAAAATGCACGAAAATATATAAATAATATATTGTTTTTACATTATATCTGGTATCCCTTCGCCTTGGTCTTCTGGTAGATACATCTCCGCCTCTCTGGCTTTCCTCATACAGCTCGATTAATCTGACGTCTAAAATATTTTCTTCCGGTTCCCATGTGTTATATCTAAAATAACGCGAAAAATATATAATGCATGTTCCAATTACAAACTTTGCATATTTCAAATATTCTCTGACAGATTTTATACTCACTTCTTGCTCCATCCCTTCCATTTGACAAAATATTCAATTTTGCCCTAAAAAAAAAGAAAAATACGATAAATATTAATTTTATTAATATAATTATACATTGATGATAAATATGATAAACATTACATCGAGTAACATGCGAAAAAGCGTATTATCGTCGTACAATTGTTTATTCATGCCATGTTCGACGATTTAAATTAATTGATAAATAATATATTTCTAAAAATTTCAAATACTGTAAAAGATTAAAAAATATAAATGAATAAATGACAATTAATATGTCTAACGAGAATAAAAGCGTTTGGCATTTTTTTACATTATAAGAGAACGAGAAAAAAATTTCAAGCGAGAGATGCGTTTTTACTTTTTTATATTTTTTGTAGCATCACACTGTATGCAATATTCGACATCAAACTGTGAAACATTATTCCTCCAATTAACCATCATCGGTAAAATGTATAATAGCGCATTAATTACTTTTACTCCTATAATTAAATGTATCATTATCCGGCACATAAACTACGTCAGAAGTGGATCGTTATGTCGTCCACGTGTTGCGCGCTTCGTTTGCACCGTGTGCACATCCGAGTAGATCGTTTACTGATAAGATCTGCCAATCGGGGAAAGCAGATTCACTTATCAGTATGTGTAATTATAGCTATCATGGCACGATAATTAATTGCAACGCGAGAGGCGCGCCGTTACATCGATCGTCCCGTACGATTTTTCAACGATCGCCAGGCAGATAGAACCAGGTGATAGGTGAAAGCTGTTGACCATTCGCTGTCAGCGGTAACATTTTACACTGTAAAATCGGGTCGATTGCGCGCGGAAATAAACAGACAGATATAGAATGTGTTTGTTTATATTCCGGAAATCAATGGCTCTCCTGATAACATGGAGTAAAGGTACGAAAGGAGAATAGATGATATATAAGTACTGATTATAAAAAATGATAAAGAAATCGGATGATGAATTTAGTAATCTCGACCCTAAAATTTCTATTCTAATTTTTTCCAATTTTTCAAATTAACTTTCTTGATATTAATTTCTCTCTTTTTAATTTAGCTAAATCGTCTTTCTTCTTTTCCCGAGATCATATCAAAGAAATATGCATCCGAGAAATTTTGCTGGGTCAAAATTGACCTAGCTTGTCTGAGAATCAAAAGCAAATTAAAACGCATCAATTTTGCAATTTTTTTCTTTCGTAAAACACAAATTTATATTTTGCGCTAGTAAGATGCGGAATTTTCATCAGCTTCAAAGGAAATTAATTAAACTGATTAGCTGTAGACGGGGACATAAATTTTCATGCGATACCACATAAATCTTTAAATAAATCTCAAACAACTCGGGATTTCATTCAATAAACCCTTTATGTAATAAACACTCTCCCCCTTCCTGCTAAAGACGAATCCCCTTATTTAATTTACACGATATTGTCTCGATATTTACGTAATTCTGAAACGCGAGAAAGAGAGATCGCATGAATTTTCGAATCCATCTCGCGACGCACGGTCGATAGCACGGTCGGCTATGCCGATGTTCATGGGTAGCGGCTCACCCATTGGCCTACGGCCAACGACAGAAACGGCACGCCGGCCCATCGCGATGCGCAGGCCGCGTGACAGTTGGAAAACAATGACACACGCGAGAGATAGGACGTCGCGAAACGGCAGGAATGAAGCATCCATCCGCGAGCCCGATCGACGATGTGATCGACAATGTGATGGTGCGGGAGCAGGTTGTCATCCTTTCGCGACACGATATTGTTACATGTCGATATTAGTACAACAATCGTATCGTCGATTCGCGAGAGTGAATGCTCTCTGTAACATTTTACACGACTCATTTAGTAGATTTATTCGATTTGACACAATCGGACGGTGAAACAATTTCGCGTAATACATTGTACGAATCAAGCATCTCGCGTAAAAAACGAAGAATTTTTCACGAATGTTGAATAAAATCGATTTTTCCCAATTAATTTGTTGAGATTCTAAATATGGGCAGCTTGTTAGCATCTTCAATATTCGAATATATGTCTAGAATGTACCTTTATTTTAGCGCAATTATCTTGTTTTTCATTTCATTTTAAGACATTTTGATATTATTCCTTTGCTTGTTTTTGTTCTCATTTGCGTGCATTAATTCTTCGTAACTCTAAACTTTCATAAATAAACTATATTTAATTGTATGCGTCCGATTAATAGTCATTATTATTCTTATTATCATATTTACAATATAATTCAGGAAATTGTATTAATTATACATTATTATGAATTTATATCTTTTTCCCAAATAAAATAATGTCCTGAAACATATAGAGTATCCTGGAATTCTATGAAAATCCTTTCAACAATATATTTTCTATTTTCGCTAAAAACGAATTTGACATCTTCAAATTAGCCAAAGAATCTACTATTAAAACAATATAATTGTGATGGTTTTGAGATTTTCTATACATATAGTTTCCATAGATTTTCCATGAATCGGAAAGGCCTTCAGGAATCGTGTTTGCAAATTGTTTCGGAATTATACAGCGTGTTGCGTAGAGAAATACGCCACTAGTTGCTACCAGCTGATCGCCATACGGAGCCTTTCTCCTATCCGTCAGCGAGTTTACCATTGTCTGCCTCCGGGAACTCCCGTTAACCAGAAGCATAATATAGTCGGTGTCAGAATGGTAGAGATTACTTTTTCTTTAGTAGCACAATCTACAAATTTACTCTTGTATATGGAAAGATGATAACTATAGCCATTAATGTATCAAATATATTCTACAAATGCATTAATGTATATAAAGTAAAACTTGGATTGCTACAAATATAAAATAAAATTATCATACATTTCAACATTTTAATTATTATTATCACAGTATTAATTAGCATCTATACAAGAGTAAGTATATAGAGGGGTTGAAAGAAAATACATTTCAAGTACATGTATAAACGCATATGATGCACATATAAATAAACATTTTTTTTTACATCATGCATGTATACAAAGAGTGTGCATTGTCAAAGCATTAATTTAGCAAATATAATTAATTACTGTAAATACAAAGTCGCGGCACAACAGTTCAGCAAATCCAAAGCACATACAGTTATACATATATGTATAAGTTTTCCCTGCGGCGATAGAAACCACAGCGTAAAAGTTTACTAACATCTGTTTCTGTAACATTAGCTGAATGTAGTTTTTTTCCCCGAGTGAAATTAACAAATGATTGTTATTTTAATGATTGCTAATATTTCAAGAGAAATTAAATTGAATTATTTTTCTTGTCAGTTAAAGAGTTACGGAGTAAAATTAAGCGATATGAATTATATCAGAGACAAAGTTTTCATTATAAAAGTTGAGAAAATAAATGTAAAATAAACAATTGCTTTAGACGAGAACAGCATTGAAAATGCATGACTGACGTTTACTGTTATTTTTGGATCTCTTCTTTTTACATTTTTATTTTATCACTTTTAAATGTAAATTTGAATTTGAATTTTTGCTCTTATTTTATTGTAATTTATTTCTAAATATGTATTTGTAAGGAGAAATATATTTCTTTCTCTTTATCATTACATAAATGGATTTATAGTGTGTATTCTTTTCTCTTTTTATTGCTTTCTATTCTTTTCCTGCATCAAGGAAACATACCACGCAAGGTTTTGGCGATATCAAGGACCGACAGTGATTAGATATGCCATACATATACATGTATACATACATATGTAGACATATATTTATATGTATTCTAGAAATGTTATTTTTTAAATTCATCGATTCAAGTTTATTCGCGATTTTTATATATCGTGAAATATTTTATCGCTGAAAACATAAATACATAATAAAATCATTGGCACGTAATAAAGTAAGAATTAATCTCGAGGAAATTTATTTTCTGCTCCTTCTCTCTTTCTCAAGAAACGCACAATTTTATCATTTTTTTTCTCGTGAATATGCGTGTCGCGATGTAAGCGGCGTCAAAACAGGAGGCACAGAATCGCGTTTACGCGGTTTTGTTCGCGGGAGCGAATCGATAATCTTGCCAATGGCAGAATTAATCGATCGGTGGTCGATGTTCGTGCTCCTCGAGATTCAATAAATGCATACGCGAGAAAACAGACCCGTACCCGTTAGCGTACTTAATGAGTCTGACGTCGCGAAACGCGGCGCGCTTCGTATCGTGCCAGCCGAGGAGCTGTCAGAGAGAAAGAGAGCAAAATAAGATGCATGGAGGGAGGATAGAGAGGCGGTAACAGGGGCGCGCAGACGGATTCCGCCTGGTGGCGCCATCTGGGACCGCAGCTCCAAACTAACGATACTAACCCGCTTTTCCCTCTTCTTCGTGATGCGTTCCGCGGCGTAAACTCTGTCGCCTAGTTCCATGGCTGTCGTGTGAATCTTTAATCCCGATTTTCCGGACGAGCGCGAAGATGTCCTCTGATCCTCAGTCCGTCGCCGTGTAATGCGCGTGATATCCTAGGAAACACCATATGTAGCGGTACGCGCCGGCGACAGATCAATCACGCACACAAACACACATTCCCCGGAAGCCGAGAGAGAGAGAGAGAGAGAGAGAGAGAGATCACAGTGCGCGTAATATCGCGAAACGATCCGTCTCCTCCGGCCGGTCGCACCTTTCAGACGGAAGGCACAGACCCCGGCATGCGCCGCGAGTGGAGACGCGAGACACGTGCGCGATTAACCACGTGGTACGATCGTATCTAGGGTCGTATCTCGAGTCGGCGATCGAGTCAGTCGATTCGCATCCCCGCGTCGCGCGTCGTCGTGTATTGTCCGATCGGTCGCGTTGTTTCGCAAGAACGTGGCATCCTCTAACGATCGCTTTCCAAGAGACAAACTTCCAGAGGGTTATGTTATTTCAGCGACAGACACGAAGATGAAGACACGAAGATGAAGAAACGAAGAAGGAAACGGCCGGGCGCGCGATGTTTTTCGAAAGGCCAGTAGCCGCATCGAGCCCTGTGAGGTCGGAGCGGTCCGTCAAAAAAGAGAGAGAGACAGATAGATAGACAGATAGATAGATAGAGAGAGAAAGAGAGAGAGAATCCAACGGGTGGCGTGTCTCTTCTCGATCGCGCGGTCGGCTTTTCGCTCGCTGCGCGCGGGCGCGCGCGTTTCGATAAATACCGGCGTGATGACGGCACGACGCACACGTTTCCCGGAGTCGTCGGTACTGTTGCCTGCTGCCGTCGCCGCTGTCGTCCGTGGTCGCCGCGTCGTTCGGGCGAGATCGGCCCGCTCGCCGCGTGACGTCAGCGATTCCCCCTCACGTCGTAAACACCAAACATGGCCGTCGTACGAATATACGCTGGTCGAGTGCGTCCCAAGCTGAAGGCGTAAAACTGCCGCAATACGGACTGTCGCGGGCCGCGGTTACGCGCGGGTAACGCGCGACGGCGCTCACGGGCCCCACGACGTACGCACGGTGAGCCCGGATGACGAATATTCGTGGACCGGAGCGATCGACTCGCGGCGTCCAACGCACTCTACGGATCGAGGCCGACTAGAGCCGAGGTCTGCCGAACTCCCCTCGCAAGCCTAGTGGATTCGCCCAAGCCGCTCGAGGTTAGGGGAAGGAGAGGGGGTAGAGAGGCAGAGAAAGAGCGCGACAGGGGAAGGGAGAGGCTCTCAACGGTACGTGCAGCGTGAACCGTGCGAAAGAGAGAGAGAGAGGGAGAGAGAAAGGGAGAGAACGAGAACGCGATTGAATTGACCGAAGACGAGGGGGAAAGGAAGAGTAAGCGCAATGGAGGTAGAAAAGAGAGACGGCGCGACTAGGAGCGCCGTCCTCGGAACAAGAAAGCCGTCTGCCTGGCCTGCTTGTTTGCCTGCCTGTCCTGTTTGCTTGCCCGCTAGCCTGCCGCCTGCCTGCCTGCCAACCAGCCAGCCAGCCAGCCAACCAGCCAGCCACCCCAAGTTCCCTTCTAGGTACGTGTATGCATGCGTTTGTGTACGAGGGCAGTCGATGCGCGGCGTTGCCAAATTTGTTTCGTCGATAGCACCGCACCGCAAATGTCACTGGTGTACCACCGCGACGATGCTCGCGACGCCAGCAGCCTCGCCGCGATTTTCCGACCTCCGACTCGGCGAGTCGAAATCGATCGACGACGACGACGACGACGACGACGACGATGACGCTCGCTCTCTCTTTCTGTCGGAGCAAACGCGCGCGCGTCCACTCCTCTCCTCGGGCGGCCTCACCGCGCCGTACCAGTCGTACGCGTATTCGCGCCTACGACATCCGGCAACGTTGCATCCTCCTGCGACGTTCTGTCACACACTGTACTCGAGTCGCATATACACGCACGTACACTGGCACGCAGCAGCGGTTCGTCCATACGTACACGTATATACATACACGCACACTCATATGTTATTACACGTAAATGTATACACATATACATGTATATATATCTATATATACATGTATACATAAAACGGGCACTGCATCCTACCTGCGACAGCGAGGCTGTGCCCTGCTCTTGAGAAGGAACGAAAGCAAATGTCGTCGCGGACACGCCGAGAAAGACGGGGAAGCGCGTACACCGGACACATACACGCAAGCGCACACACAGTACGGCACTTCTCTCCCTGTCTCGTGAAAACGCGTGCTACCTCAACGGATCCCGAAACGAGAGTGTCTCTCCTGCGCCGACGAGCGCACAGGGAGAGCGCGCGCGACGAGGACGGAGCGGGCGTATCGCGCGAGCGCGAGCGAGACGCCGGAAGCGACAACGAGGGGGGAATCGTCTTCTCCGTCCTCGGTGTAAATAGCGGGCGAAAAAACCAGCGGCGAGGGCGCCCGATTGGCGGAGCTCTCGGGGCGCCACCGTTGGTCCCGAACCCCGTTCGCCGGGATGCCCAATCGGCGCCTGGCACGGCCCACGTCGGATTCCCCTTCGCTCGTCGAGAAGGCGGGTATTACCGGCGAGCCCATCGGCCACGCTCGGACTCTCCGATCCTCCTCCCCACTCTCCCCCGAATCCTCGCGCTCCTCGTCGTCTCTCTCTCTCTCTCTCCCCCCCCTCTCCTCGTACCGGAAGAGAGACGGAGGTAGAGCGCGCGTCCCTCTTCCCCCGCGCTCTCCTCGTCCTGGCGCGGAGAACCCGAATAGCGGAGCGCGCTACCGCGGTGGTTCTCTCTTCCCGTCGCCGAACGACCGTGTAAAGCCGTACGATGCAAAGGGCGGGCACGTAGACGAGGGACGACGCGCGGGGACGTTGTACGTACGGGCCGCGCTTCCGTGTAAGCGTGCGTCTATGTGAGAGCGCGTGCGCGCGCGCATACACGCACACACGGCCGCGTCGCGTCCTCCTTCCCCGTGCGCGGCCCCACGTCGGTGGCCGCCGACCACCGTCGGTATTGAAATATCCTGGCCCTGGAGAGCCAAGTAGCCGTGCGGCGATGCCGCTTCTTCCTACGTAACCATTACCGCGCGCGTGATTCTCCTCTCTCGCGCTCTCGCTCCGCTCATTGTCGTCCCTCCATCTCTCTCCTCCTCTCCCTTTTCTCGTTCTCTTTGTGCTCGTACTTCGCGGCCTCTCGCTATCCTCCTCCTCCTCCCATCCGTATTCGCGTCTGTCGTCTCTCTCGCGCGAGCGACTCGTACCCTCTTTCAGGAGCTGGCGCGATTCTCTCGCCCTCCGCGTCTCCCCTTCGTCCGCTCTCTTTCTACTCGGGTCTCCCCCTCGTGTCGGTGGTAGCTCGCCTCCCTTCGGGGAGCGCAATCAATCGCCATGCACAAAACGCTGCGCAACCCCGCGAGCGATGCGTAAGTTGGAAAACGCGGGCACGCGCGCGCCAGAAACGCGCGTTACACGGGCACTTTCGGGCCGCCGCGCCGCGTCACACACGACGGCGGCATCGAATTGCGCAACTCTAGGATACGCTCCAAGTAGTAGTTCACATAGATGGCGCGTATCGTGGGTACGCGCAATCGGCCCCTTTCCCTTCCTTCATCCCGACGGGCCGGTGCTCCTCTTTGTTCTTCCTCGACGAAGGTTGACACCCGCTGCCACCGCCGTCATACATGTCGCGGTATCCGTCGTGGTCTCTTAATACAAGGCGTTATTTTCTCTTTGCCTTTCTCGTATCTGCCCCGATGTTGCAGCTGATTCAATTATAGAGGATAAACACGGATTTTATACGGATACAGCTGTAAATGCAATCTCTCATTTGAAATGTATCAAATTACGATTGCTTGCGACATATCGGAGCTTGTGCATGGCTTTGATTCTTTTGTATGAATTGATCTTGCCATCTCTTTCTAAAAATTGTAAAAGTATGAAATATACAAGTATCTTGCAACATTATTTTCTGAAAAATTAAAAATATGTATATACATATAATATAATAATAATATTTATAGAAATGTTTGATAGTCATAAAATGGTCAATCTTAAAATATTCTATATCGTTCGAAAATTCACACAAACTCTACAGTTGAAATTTAACAATACGTCCCGATAGATGCTTGAAAATTTGTCGTTTAATTATTGTCAATTTAATTTTCGAAAATTATAATTGCACAACAAACTATAAGTATTTAAAATAATCTCCATCGTTAAATACACTGGCATCAATCATTGTCTTATGCGTTAATTACATTGCATGTATGTTGAATATGTACTTGTAATTCATCAGCTAATTTGGAATATATTGATTTTGAGTAATTTTATAAAAGATCGAAGAAGCTTTTCTTTTAAATTAATCATGTAATATTTTAATCCACAAGAGACCAATTTTTTAACTTTTAATATCAACGATATCGCTATTGTTACGTGTCATTATGCGCATATTTTGATACATGGATTTTGTGTGTAACGATAGGAAATTATAACAACCTCGTCGTTCAATAGAGAATCTATTCATCTTTCACGAAAAGATATTTTACAAAGATATTTTAGAATTGTATGAAATAATAAATGCGGCAATACTCCATCAATCAACTATATATCTAAATACACGCTAAAAATTAAATCGGGTATGATTTTAAATTTCACAGACAAAAAATTTATGAACTCGGATTCAGATTTTTTTCTCTCGGATTTGACGTGTGAAATATACCGGTAATTTGTGACAGTATTTTAGAAACATCGTTTTCTCTTATTTAGCTTAACTTATTTATCGTTTTCTCTTATTTAGCTTAACTCATTTAATCCGCTTAACTTATTGCAGTGCAGGTGCATTAAATCGGTTCATCGTTATTTATATTAATTTGACGAAATTTGAGAAGCGCAAAATTTGTGTGCTAAAATTTGTGTGTTTAAAATAAATATGAAAAGAAAAAGAATCTCTTTCTTAGGAAAATAAATAAATTAAAAAAAGAAACAAAACAGTTTGCGCGATAACAACAGCAATAACTTGACTGCGATTCTATATTTCAAATAAGTTGTTCCAAATATATTTAAATTAATCAATTTGCCGTCGTTAATTATGTTTCGGTAAAACAGCAACAAGTGGAAAATTATTATAAAAATTATAATATTGTATACACTGAGAAAAATAACCGGTGAAAAGATAACGAACGGATATTATCTGATTATTAACCGATCATTTTAATCGGAAAAAGAAAGAAACCGATCAGATATCCAATCAGAAAATATCAATCGATCAGATACCTGATCAGAAAGTTCAAAATTCGGAACTTTCCGATCAGATATCCGATTAAAGTGATCGGTTAATAATCGGATAATATCCGTTCGTTACCTTTTCACAGGTTATTTTTCTCAGTGTATGAGCGACTTGGCTAATGGCTCTTTTACAATAATCAATTGCGTTGTCGATTCACAATTATTTATTAATTTTACAAACAAACAAATGTAAAATGTACACCATATATATCACGATATATCTGCTTCTTTAATACAATAGCTTTTCTTGCGTTAAAATCTCATACTTTTTTTCGAAAGTAATAGAAAACACGAAATAACCGAAAATACACAGGTTATATTGTTTTTTTATCTTGAAAGACACGTCATATGTGCAAGAGCCCAATAATATCCAATTGTAATTCCATTAGTTTGCATTTATAACGCATATGCAAGTGTTGTCAAATAGCAATTTCAAAAAAAATCCAATTGCTGTTTCGCGCTCACTTTGGTGTTCTTTTCTTCCTACTCTTTATATCCCGATCTTTTTTATCCTAAATGGGGAAAATACAAAAAAATGCAGCGTACTAAAACGAACAAATGTGACCATTTTTATCGCGAATCGATATCGTTGAAAAATCGCGTAACGTGAACGCACTGTAAAGGTTTTGCCTTCGTGCCTGGGAGCGAGAGAGGTCCTGACACGCTTCTGCCGCGAGCGACGTCGATGGCGCGGCGCGTTGCTGCGCCCAGCCGTTCGTCGCCAAAAGTGGCCATTTAATATCTCGGGAACGGCGCGAGATATCGAGACGAAACTTTCGCCAGACGATTCCTTACCGTTTGTCATGCTCATTTATTTGGGCGCGGACTCAATCGCGTCGGTGGTTTCCGCGTGAACGACGTCTCGAGGTTTGCGCCTCGAGACGGGGCGCATGCGTGTTACGGAGAACCTAACGATGATTTTTTCCGAATTTTCGCTCGACAACACGTGGTGGACGAGGTATAACGATTATGTCATGTCCAATCCGCGTATTTGTTTATTATTTAGGTATTTTGTTAAGATATAATTAATTTTGGCAGATTATCGCGTAAAAATAGCGTTTTAGTGACAATTATATGTAAGATAATATATTATATCTATTCTTATGCAAAAAATTTCATATTTATAATAGAGAAAAATTATACTGATATAGCCGATATAGCGTTTATAAAATTCGTCGCTACAAATTCTAATTTGATATACATGCTAAAATTCCGAAATAACATATTCCATGCCTCTCTTATAAATCTTTCATGAAGAGCTTTTTCCTCTTGTTCTTTCCTCTCTCTCTTTTTCTGAAATTCATTTCTTTCCAAATCCGCTTGTGAATGAAGGATAAAGGGTGATTTACTGGTCGGCAAATAAATTTTTCGAAATATTATATTTGAAATACCACATTAAAATCTTTTATGATTATTAATTTATTTTGTTTTTAACATTTAATGCGAGTTAGATAAAACTAAAGATTTTTGAGCCACCGAAACGAATTCTCATCGAGGAAGTATTCTTCCTACATCGGCCAATTCATCGGCATAACGAAGAACATGTGCGATTATTT